AAAGCACAGGAGAATGCTTTTATTCATTTTTTTTCCCTTTATCATGCTTTTCCCAATTAAGGAATTGCTGTTGTGTCTTTGTTAGAGGTCTTCTTAAAAATATGAAATGGAGGGTTCAGGGTTTTTTTGAGTATCTGTTTGGAAGTACACTTGAAGGAATTCAGCACAACATGGGAAACCATCCCCAGCAGGTGAAAAAAGGCATAACATGGATTTCTCATCCCAACATCAACACTGGCTTTTGTTTTTGTTTATTCTTTGGCTTTTTCTGCCTGTGAGGAAGAAGTAAGTTGATGTAAAGCCAGGAATGATTTTGTGAAACAGGGGTGCAGCTCTTCCTGCCTTACACATTGTTTCCTGGATGGAAAGAAGGTGTTAGTCACACGGTGTTTATACAGAATATTCTCAAATTGATGTAAGATAAAAACATAAATATCATGGCCAATACATTACAAGGGTTTTGTAAATCTCTACAAAATAAACAGGATAAATCAGTTGTTTGGTTATGTTGCTACATCCAGTCAAGTCAGAAACTGGATTGTCTGGTGATTTTTTCTTAGTTTTCTTTTGTTCTCATCATCCTCCCAAATTTATTATGAATTGCACTTTATGATTCTCTGATCTGATATAAAAGAAAGGCAATGGAAAACAAGCCAGCTATTAACATTTGTAATTCTGCTACTTATTAGATCGGAGAGCATCAGGGCCTTCCAAGATGTTAAACAGCAATGCAGTGAATGCCAACAGAAAGATGGACTGCAAGAAATTTAAGTGATGTCTAAAAGAACTCAACAGGCAACTCCTTCAGCTGCTTGACTCAGAACACACCTACAGTCTCCTTGTCTACACCTCTGTTTACAGAGAAATGATGCAATCCAAATAAGTGGCTATTTCTAAGTTACCTGAGCCCAGATTCTGTCATCATTCTAGGCACTAAAATCCATAGAGGCTTGAAGTTGATGGAATTACACAGTACAAATCAAGCCAATATTTGGCTATTGACTATATCGATTATTTACTGCAAAGTATAAAAACATGTTGCTTTCATTAGAACTTCTCAGTAAGCATTTTTCCAAAAGTAGCAAACTATTAATGGGTTTAAGCAGTGCTATCACAAAACCCAGCACATTCAGGAGCTGTCACAGGGGCACTGCATAATCTGAGAACCTCATCGTCGTCTAAATCTGAAGAACAAAGGCATAATAAGAATGTTAGACGTTAACCTTGGCTAGCAAGGTTAAAATTTCAGGGTACTTCAGAAGCTGCATCTCTCCTTGGGGAGGGAATAAGAAAGAGCTTGGCTGCAAGTAGTTATTGCTATGTGGAAAACAGAGTCATTGGCTTGCTTGAGAATTGGATCCAGGTCCTCTAGTCTAATAGTTTCTAACTTCACAGTCTGTTATCTGAAAACACCTTTGGCTAAACTAGTAAAATACATTCTATTGTTTCAGGCTTTGCTATCTGTTTCTAGATCTTATAGCTCTTTTCCTAACTCTGAATTCATTTGAATAAATTTAATTTTGCTGTACTTCTCCAAGCGGTGTCAAGAATGATAATGGGAGTAATGAGATATCGCAGTTTTCAGTTTGTACTGTGCTTTTTCTCAGAATATTCAGAGCTCACCAAAATCTCAGCATTTTAAAATAGACCCTCATTTACTTCATGATGATGCTTGTGTTCAAGACCAGGTTGGATTAGGGCCCTGGGCAACCTGGTCTAGTACCAGATCTGGAGGTTGGTGGCCTTGCCTGTGGCAGGAGGGTTGGAACTTGATGATCTTTGGGGTTTCTTCAAACCCAAGCCACTCTATGATTCTATGATGATTCTATGATGTTGGGCTTGCATGAATGCTAGTAACACCCCCAAAGGCTAGCTGGAATTTATTCACTCACTTTGTCCGAGGAAATAAGGAAGTCCCCAAAGTTGATTGATTGCTGTGTAGGCTAAAAAGTAACTCATTAAGCCTTAAGAATGAGAACTACAAATACAATAGAAATGCAATTGAAATGATAGGAAGCTTGGACTACAATTGATAAACAGCTATGAAATGCACTGTAAGATGCCGTCTATAAACCATCAAAGGGCTAGCAGAGATGTATGCAAAACCCATGGACATGCAGACCATAAAATATCCTTACATGCTGATCCAGGAATTATAATATGATATACACAAATCCACGGGACCTGATGGGTTGCACCCACAAATACTGATGGAGTTGACTGGTCTAAAATTTTGTGATCTGTTTTCCTTTTATTCCATCTTTCCTTTCTGAGAACAAACTGGCAGCAGAGTTAATTTAAAAAGAATGTACATGAAGAATTTACATACAGAATTCATATATGGATCCACTGAGAGGAATTAAAAGCAAGCCCATAGTGATCAAATCCATAGCACTTACCTACCTATTCTGTGCAAAGTGATTTTGTTCTGAAGCTCAGCAAAATGGAAAACTCTGCTCCATCTAATTGTAGGCCACTGATTCTGTGGTGCTACAAATAGCTTAGGCTTAATCAAAACAAGAGCTTATAGACACATATGAGGTAAATGCAAGAACACAGAATATTTTTAGACCATTTATAAGGAAGTGTCTTGAATGGCCATTTTCCTACATTCACCTTTATCTGTTTATCACCTTCAAGAACCATGCCCCAGTTCACTCTAACAGACATGTTATGACACTCTCAAGACCAGACAGACCTATTTTGAGAGAGCTGTATGTACACTTTAAGGAGGACACTGCATTAACAGTTTATTTCAATAATACAATGTTTTGAAAGACTGGAAATTAAGTATTCCAAATGAGCTTTAAATATAGCTGAAGTTGTTTCAGGTTTAATGGACAAAGCCTGTTCCTACTAAGTACTCATGTACTGCCAAGAGGGCTTCGCAACAAAATAAAATCTGGAAGTGGCAAGTTTGGGGCTATTAGTGTCAGAGCCAGACCAGCCAAGCAATTCTAAACTAAGATGATCTTAGTAGTAAAGATTTCTGTTTCTAAGAACTTTTATGTTCCCCTTCACTCTGGAAATCAAAGCTGCTCCCTTGAGAAGCTACCTCGCTTCTGAGGCATTTGCTGAAGCATGAAAAATACTACAGATGACTGCTTGAATAATTTCCAGATAATATCTATATTTAAAATTTGATCTTGATTAATGCTCAAAGTGTAGGAAAAAAGAAAATGAAATTCCAAGTACCTTATAAGTGCTTTCTGCAAAAACACAGTCCTACTCTTTTAAATAAGATATCCTATGATTATCAACTACAGATTAGTCAAGTTCATAATCCTAGGCTAATCAGAACAAGAACTATTTCTTCTTGTGTTTAATTATTCTACAAATCTTAGATGTTTTTCATTATCGGGTAAGCAATCCAAACTTTGCTAACAGAGATTTTCATTTAAACTATAAAAGAAAACACAGTAAGTGAACAGCAAATGGGAAACAGCCTTTCACTTTTGACAAATCAAGACAGGTCAGTGAAATGATGGTCTTGGTCTCTCAGTTGTCTTATTGTTCAAGCAAATGCCTGCAATGAACAAATTGATCATAACTTTTGTTTTGCACCACTTTTTGTGGGTAAAAACCAGGGTCAAGACAAAGGACATCTGGTGGTTGGGTTCTATTACAGGCAGCCTGATCAAGGGGAACCTGTGGATGAGACCTTCTTACTTCAACTACAAGGAGTGTTACGCCTGCAAGCTCTCTTCCTAATGGGAGATTTCAGCTCCCTGGATGTCTGCTGAGAAAGCAACACGTGAGCTGCAAGCAATCCAAGAGACTCCTAAAGGATAATAATAAATAATACTAAAGAGGTTAAGAATGGAGGCAATTTGGGCTGTAATGACGATGCCCTGTAGAGAGGGAGACCTCTCTACCCTACCAATGCATGAGAGCAGACACAGCCAGAATTAGCACTTGTGAACGTGGACTGCAGCACTAATATAACATTTTACAAAGAAAAAACCTTAGCAAGCCACAAATTAATACTGAAGACTGACATAACAGGATTGGTAGCTTCTGTGTCACATGCAACCAATAGGAAGCACTTGATGTTTCAGAATTCATCTGTCCCTTATTTGTTTTCAAAGGCAGTTCACATTTTCATACAGGCACATACAAGCACAGTTGACATACTTTACCAATACACTTTTTTTCTTTTTCTTTTTTCCTTCCACCTTTATTTCCTGCTATTTATTCTTTCATAAAGTCTCTGCAAAGATACCATATCATGCTTTTCACCTATCTTCCTCTAAAGAGCTAGTAATACAGTTTCTCCTTAATAAAAATATTTGTCTCCCTCCTTAGCTAAGTCATTTGACAGTTAAACATGTATTTTTAAAAAGGTTTAATTTCTGAAGGTTACTCTGTTTTGACATTTTAAATGTAAATAAAACTCTAAGTAACAAAAAAGCCGAATCAGCACTCATCATTGGCTTTTCCCTGGCACAGCTCAGCTGTTCTGCTGTTTGCTCTTGGCACCTTGGCACAGTACCCCAGGTGGCCAAATCAATGAAGCCATCACACAATCAGCTGCCCAACCTGGAGCAACCTGAGGGAAAGCAGAGCATCATTGCTTTCACTGCTGCTGTTATCTCTATTTATCACCATGCACACTTCTACCTATTTTTTTTTTTTCCCAAACTCCACTAAAACTTGTACAGTGAGGAGGAGGAAGGCAGAATCTTTAGATGTGGAGGGAACTGAGATCAATCTTCTGCACTGGATGTTCTTGACTTTACCTGCATTAGTACCACCATATGCACACTGATCTCAAACAGTGGTCGAGTCAAATATTTCTGAGTTTTTAAAAAATGAAAATAGAATCTGAGTTTTCAGGTAACTTCTATGTTAGTTGATCAACAGAAAATGAATTTACTATGCAGAAAATTACTTCCACTCATAATTTCTGTACAAATCCTTTCAAATGTTAACAAAAAGTTCTCAAAACATTTTGAGGACCTGCTACTGTTAGTGTTCAAGAGAAACAGCCAATATCAGTTAAATGGTTTTATTCTCAAAACAACAGATTGGCAATATAAAATATTTTAACAGTATTTTTATTTAAATATCCATGACTTATAATGCATTTTCTTAAATAAAGTGCTATTTTTACAAACAGGTATTTTGTGTTTACATTTACTGTTCTAATCTCTAAATACTGAGTAGATAAAGTGTGTTTCAGTTAATGAAGAATGCAGCATTACTTTCCCTTTATATTCCTTCCCATGAAGCCATTATGCTTTCTACTTGGTGATTTACATGCCTTCTTCCATGCTTTTATTGCTCTTGATCTTGCCTACAGGGGCCTCCTATGGGTTCTTCATCTCTGGGCACTGAAGACTAAGAAGAAAACATACATCTTCATTCTTCCCTCTTTCCTTTCTTCTCCTAAAATCCAAACCATGGAAGCTTTGAACAATTCAACTCTAAGGTTGAAATACAAAAACAATCTTTTCATTACTTTCTTTGAGGCCTTGTAGGACTGGAATCATTAACATTAATTCATAGAGTTCTATACAGGTGTACCAAGGACTAAAGTTTCTAATTTTCATTTGTATGCTTGGATTTACTCATCTGGATCCCAGACTTCACTGTAAGATCAAAATCTCTTTTTATTCCAGTAGCTACCTCTTAGGAGCAACAGTTTCTTGTGGTTTTACGGAGCAGCCAGGTGCTGTAAAAATAAAAATAAATAAATAAATCTGACAACTTGCAACCAGTGAGATTCAAAGCTTTACTCTAAAGACCACCAACAAATTCCACATTTACCACAAACAGATTCACGTTTCCCAGTCTCACTGTTACACCTGACCCCAACAGCTTGACCCTGTAATTCATTTTACTCATCTTAAGTCCACTCCTGTAAGCAGAAATAATTTCATTTTCAGTTTATTTTCAGATATTTTGCTTTTTCTTTTTTTTTTTTTTCATATAATATCATTTAATCCATTTGAGTTTTCTTCATCTTAGATTCAGCTCTTCCTCCTTTCATGTCCTCCTATCCCTATGAATCTGCAGATCAGTGTCAACTATGTTCAGCCCTTTGATGAATGAGTGAATCTTGACCAACAAAAATCCCCTACATATCAGTCCTAGCAACTGGGTATTCAGAAAGTTTTGATTTGGTCCTTTACTAGAATCATCTAAACAAATACATTGCCTGAACATACTAATTCAAACCCTTCCTGTGAGAAGTACCATTTCTTCAATCCAGAGTTTTCTAAGAAATTCAGACTTTATACTGCTGCTTGCTATCTCAGTGAAGCAGAATTTTTTGTATTGCAGAGCAGTTCATCTTCCCTCATGCCTCCACAGGCTGCTCATCTGCTCTAAATCCGAACGATGAAGCAGCAATCTAGTACTGTGGTTTTATTTGTTCTTTTTGAAACACTGACTGTGTTATTAAAAAGCAACATCTTCCTAGTATGCAGTTTCTCTTGTCAGGAACAGAAACCTGTCTGCTGTGATTAGAACACATCGGGAAAATGTTAAGCCTTTTCTTTTCCTTGGGAATTATAAAGTCAAAATTTCGTTGAGGTTTACACTTGGAAAGAATTAATTTCAGCAGAATTTTCTGAACATCATCAATTAATTTCCATTAATAAAGATACCAAGACAACACTCTTAATGCAAGTACTGTTTTGCCTGTTCAGAACAGGGATAAGAACCATGGTGCCCTAAATCCTACTGGCTTACATGTCCAGAAAGCCACTGCATTATTTATATTGAATAATTATTTGCCTTATGTAGTTCAGGCACAGATTTAAATGTGGAGCTCCTGCAGCCTGGACGTTCAGCCTAATCTGGTATCATTGGCAGGGGCAAGAAGGAAGGTCTCAATATCATTCTGACAGAAAACGATTATATGTTACAGCCTATTGTTTTCTGCAAAGAAGAAACATCTCAGTGCCAGCCCCAGGGATAACACAGAACCTGATGCACAAAGTAATCTCTCTCCCAGTGGTGAACTTTACTATAATTGAAACAGCTCAGCTGCCAAAACCCAATATACACTTGACAACTTTTCTACTTTCTTGTAGTGAATATCACAGAGAGCTCTGAAGCAGAGACCTCAGCAGGAGGTGCTCAATCAGAAGGTAACTGAGGTTCCAAAAGCTAGCAATTGAGTTTGAATGGCCAAAAATCCTTTAAGAAGAAACTGCAGTATCTTCTCTATCCAAGCCTGTTGCATGAAATTAGTTATGCAATCAATCCTTTATTGCTAATAGCACTGCTTTTACCTTTTCTTCCTATTGTTTTTTTTTTTCCTTCTACTGCATTTCTTAGGAGTGTAAACACAATTACTGCTGTTCTATTTTCCATTCTTGAAACATTCATATACATATTTTTCTGTTTCTATTGCTTGATATATTGAATCAGGCTGGAAAAGCACCAACAGTTCCTACACCAGTGGCAGCAGAAGAGGAACTGAGCCTGGGCAGTGGGGAATGGGGCATTTTCTGGGGAACTGAAGCTGGCTGGGAAGAGTGTAGAAGTTGTAGAGAATCACAAGTTTGGTGATGATAGTTGGTCTACAGGCTTCGGATAATTTTGAGCTTCTTTTCTCAGGAAGTCAACAAGAAGTTAGTTTTGTCAGTGATTAAGCAGCTCAACTTCTGTGAACAGAGAGCAGATTCTTGTTTATATTGCCAGGTAACAGAACTGATAAAAAACGATACTCATCTTTTCAAAGATTCCAGTGGAGATCCAGGAAAACACAGACTGCAGAGAAGGCAAGTAGTAGGAGGAAAGTAAGCATGAAAAAAAATTGAAATAATGAACCTCTGAAATGTTGTGGAAAAGAATCAAAAAAGGGAATTGAATGTCTTGTCTCATCAGCCTACTGGAATTTCTTGAAGGTGCCAACAATATTGTACACAGAAGAGATCCACTTGGTGCCTGAATTTTTAAAAGGTATTTGGCAAGTTCCAAGGCTGGCTCTTAAGATAAAGAATCCAGAGAGTAAAAACATTTCTTGTGTGGATAAAAAATAGATAAGAAGGCAGAAGATAGAAGGTCAGAGTAAACAGTGACTTTCCACAATGGAGAGATTCATCAGTAGCATTTCACAGAGAACTATATGGACATTCAATATATGACTTGGAAAGGGCATATAGAGTCAAATGACAAATTTTCCTAAGTTATCCACATAAACAAAAATAAAGGTGAACAGTGAAGTGGAAAAAGGACTTTGTGAGACTTTAGTGACCAGACAGTATCAAGGCAGACGAAATCAGATGAAGATAAAAATGAGCAAATATGAAATTAGGCATACAGGAAAAAAAAACAAAAACGTATGAATGGTGATATAAAATGCTAAGTTCTCAGCTCACTCTCAGTAGATGATCTACGCTGTAACACACAGTTCCAATGAGTACCAATTCAGTCTTCCACTGTACTTAAAAAAGCAAAGTACTAGAAGCAACTAGTAAAAGCTAAGAAAACTGAAAAGGTAAGATACTTGAAAAGCAATTACAGTATCAAGTATAAGTCAACAGTATGCCTACAGCTTGAGTATTTTATGTCAGGCTGGTATCTTCAAGTCTAAAAGGGTATAGTGGAAAAAAGAAATGAAGACAGAAAAACTATGGTATAGGGAATGTTTAAGAAGCCTCCAAGACTTCCATCTGGAAAAAGAAACACAGCTAAGGAAGAATATCACAGATATCTATAAAATCATCTGTGACATGGAGGCAGTGAAGAAGGAACAAATCATCTGCTGTAGCTTCTGATCCAGTAGGATAATCGGAAATGGACAAAGGACATGGTAAGTTCACAACAAATGAAAGATGTGAAAGCAAGTAGCTCTTTACACAAATGTCAGATGAGACCAAATGATACAGCTGTACGTGACTGTGAATTTTGGATCTCACTAAGAACAGATGCTGTTATGTTCTAAAATATTACACCTTCCTAGAAATCACTTCAAGTTCCAGAGATTACGTAAAGGTCCCACTGCTACTATTAAAAATAAAAAGCAGCTTATCTGGTGTGGAAACTTCTTTTACCTACATGTTCATTTCCTCTGCTATTGTTTCCGTTGCTGTATCTCAACCAAATCTACTTCATGGAGCTCTCACACACAATAATCCAAAAGCAAGATCTCTAATGAGCAGGAGCAACTGTTGCCTCATTCTTACAAAACAACGTTCTCCCCAGCTCTGTGCCACAATTACTGTTTTCTGTTTACCAGCATGTTGCTTGAACACATCTATGTTTCTTCAGTTCTTGAGTAATTCCAGTTCAATGCATTATTTTATCAAATTCCAAATAATGGCTTCTGCTCACTGTAGTATCTACAGAAGAGGCTCTTCAAGTCTGGGATGTTATCAAGAGACATCCAGAAGTTCCCACACATGCTGACTATTCTGAGAATAGGAAGTAAACTGCACAATGCATTCATTGATACCTGACAGTGGCTTTCAGTCATGTGGACTATATGGAATCCAGAAAGTTGCTCACAATGGCTAACTACCACAGCAATGACCAGTATTCACAAAGACAGCAGTGTAACTAGAGTTTTAACTTGCTTTCACATATTTAATGATATTCAGCTGATTGAGATTGGAACAACTGGGACTCGTTCATTACATAGGCCTGCTAAAGAACACAATACCTCAAATATTTAGCATTACCACAAAACAAGTATAGTAATTTTGTGAGTGGATGCAAGGTGAAAAATAAGCAACTGAAAAAGTAAGAGGTACTTAAGAGAATAAATTTCTTAAGGCCATTCAATGTCTTTATGTTCTTGCTAAAACACAGGTCCAGAAATACACATAGGAATAAGTTTCATCCTATTCCTCGACCTCGATTAACAGATGTGTATCTGTCTTTGGCTCAGACTGTTAGCAGGGCAGAAATTTAAAGCTTTAACATCTAAGTGTGACTGTGCTGAATGTATTTAGCTGATGTAGGTCAGAACACCTTTCCATGCATTTTGATTATAGATCTAAAATTTAAAATGCAGTTTTAGTTTTGATAGCCATTGCAATGGTTAGCAATTAACATCGGTAGTTGGAATGGGTGTATTCTAAACAAGGCCACCTGCAGGTAGTCATATAAAAATATTACCTACACAAAATAAATGCATGCATACATAAATACATAATCAAAGTAGCTGTTCAAGCCAGTATGCTAAATTGCAAACCTCAAATACGTTGGATCTACTTGATCACAGTAAAGGAAATTGTCTCATATAAACACTATAAAAAAAAGAACCAACTACCCTATACCATACAGAAACTCACCTCTCATTGATGCTCTTCATCATATACTTCAGTTTGCTATATTTATATCCATTTTCTGTGTTCAATAATAATAAATACAAAACAAAAATCTTACACTCCTTTCAAATACTACTGAAGTGCGTGCACAGATCTTATAAATATCTCTTCTTTATTCCTTGAAATCTTCTCTACAAACTCAGTAAAAGAACAGATATGCATCAAACACAGAAAATGGTTAACTAGCTTGTTTTCCACATTCTGTGCTCTAACTAGCATTAATTAGAAATAATAATATGCCACTCAGTAAATGGCAGGTGGTACTTACTCTGGGAATGACCAGGAGGCCGTGTGTTACTAACACTACTCTCAAAGGAAGAGTGGAAGTTGTGTATAGTTTCTTGTAAAATCTGTCTCTCTCGTCCCTGTGGGAAAAAAACAAAAAAACAAAAAAACACCACACATTAAATATTTCTGTTTCAGGAAAAAAAATATTCTAAGTTCACAAAAACATGGAAAATATGCCCTTCTACGCCCAGAGAGTCACAGTGCATTATGAGGAATAATATAAAATCCTTCTCTACCAGGTATATAGAAAATTTTGCAGTCTCCTGAAACTCTCAGACAGCAGTAAAAGCATTTTCAGGATTTTCTTCATGGCTGTAACAGCATGGAGCATCATCATCTTCTCCAAATTTGTAGCTTTGTCTCTGCTGCTTTTGATCTCACCTTGGGGAATTATCTTTATGTTTTGTTTATGTGAGCTTCCAATATCAAAGAGAGAAATAACCCTGAAACTTTAAAAAGCAGCTGAGTAGTTCAGCAGTCCAAATTAAAGAGATTCTCCAGTCCATAATCTCTTTGACATTAACAGAGCTTCTTTACATCATTGCTAGACCACTAGTATACGTGACAAGGCAGAAAAAAAATAAGTGAGAAATGAGAGAAGTGACCGTTTATCTAATTACAAAAAATAAAAATTGGTAGGAAAAACAAAGGAGACATTTTACATCATGTTCAACTTAGTGTCACTGAAATCAGTGTTCACTAACTGTAATGTGACCAACATTGTGTTAGTGTCAACTTTTAATATATTTGCCTTTGTAAAACTCTATAAAAGAGCAGTACAGTTACTGAACTAGGGAAGAGTTTATGAAATAGAACAGGAGGTACCAGAAAGTAAAGTATTCTTCAATAAACATGTTAAATGTCTTCTTTGGAAAACATTCCTTTCACTTTTCTAGCTAACATCTGCAATTGAATTTCCAAATATATATTCAATTAACAATACAAGCAAACCTGGAATTAATTTATTAAGTACCATATTTCAAAACATACCTTTCCTGCATTCAGTTCAGAAATAGCTGCCAGAATTTGCTGTCTTGAACCATCAGTTTTAATACCCAGCTCTTTCAGATCACCATCAGTAAGAGTAAGGAAGGCTTCCATATCCACCTGCATGTGAAAAAGGAAGAAGTGTTTATCTAGGTAAGATTCACTACTGAAGGACAGATTTTTTTTTTTAATTATATAAAATTACTGGAAATATATTCTATATTGTGCACGCAAAAAACTTTAATGAATTGACAGCTTCAAATGGTACCTACTTCTCCACCCTGCTGTTGAATATTAAATCTGCTGTTAATACTTCAGTTGTTTGTTATTATATTGTTAAAATGTTCATGGATTTTATTGGTCTTTAGAAAAACAGTCTTTTCCTTAGTGTAACTGTTTGTTGGACAGACTAAGGTTTTTCTCTCCTTTAAAAGCACTGCTGGATTTTCAGAATACCATGTGTACTTCTTCACTGCCTCCTAAGGAAAATTTAGGGTTTATTCATATATCAGTTATACTGTATCAGAACATCCACAAAGCTGTGATAAAAACAAACATCTATAACTTCATACTGAGAGAAACTTTGCACAAAAGCATTTCTACAAAATGCTTTCTTCCTTATCACTCTAGGGAACAATAAGTCCAGTGTACGTGGTGCTGAATCTTGAACTCCACAGCAATAGCAATTTATTACATGTCCATTCACTGCCCTCTGCCTTCCAACAAATAAACATGCAATGATTATTTGCATTTGTTGATGTCTTAAACACTGAAATGAACGATTTTCATTTTCACTAATTATTTTTTTAATTCCATCATTCAGGTAAGTCACTGTCACAGGTCTCATCTACAACAACACTCAAGTTCTCCAATTTAAAATCACCTTCTGCTTATTCATAGTGGATAAAGTAGGGAAAGCAACAATCTCAGAGACTCACAGCCTGCTGTTCTCCAGCTGCAAGTGAGGTTCTAGCTGTGATTTCAGAAGTGATACAGCATGTTCTATAAACTGTTCAGCCCCATTGGATATGGACATATACAGAGAAAGCAGGATGTAAAAATGGAAGAAAAAAATATCTAAGGCATCTGTAACCAAAATGTAGATTCACTGTAAAAAGCATTGATACGTCCCTGGAGAATTCTAGGAATATCACTTTGGTCCATGTTTCAAGGTCCTCTCTGCAACTAGAAATGGTTGTAAAACTCTAATATTTAAGTTGAGATTTTGGATCATAATTTTAATGCAATGTATGTCATGCCATACTTTTTCTAAAACAGCAAAAAAAATAAACCTTTTAAAAAAGATTTACCTCTTGTTCCTCAAAAATAGGCTGATATTTCTCAAGGGACAATTTTTTAAGGATGCCAGTCAGCTCATCTGTAATGTCAGAAAAAAAAAAAAAAAGAAAAAAAAAGGGTCAGAAAAGATCAATCGTATTGATCTCTGCAATGTTAACTGCTGAGGATATATTATCAAATGATATATTCCACACCATGACATACTGCAACATAAAACCACTCACATTTACTCTGCATCAAAAATAAAAATACTGCCTTATTGTAATTCTATCTAGTCATACCTTGGTAGGATAAAATCCTTTTGCTGTATCATCCTTTCTTCCTCATAAAAACAATCTTAAATAAACAAATTTTTGAGGACAGCCTTAATGCCTAAAATGAAGGCGCTTGGCCCTGAATGGCTGATTCAGACCAGGCTGTCTATACATCAAAACTTTTCAAGAAGGCAATGAATTAAATGAGGAATTTCCACAGCATGATTCAAGAAAGTAAAATGTAGAGCAAGCACCTACCCACTCACTTATTGAAAACATAGATACAACAAGGGTACATGCAAATCTCTTCTGCTCAAGCACCTGACATCCAGTCTTGAACACAGATAGCTGAAGTCCAACTAAGTTGAAACTTGAGCAGAATTTAAGTTTCATAAGATAACCTTCCCAGGCTAACAGGTCTGGATATTGGGCTTCCTCTCAAGGTCTGAGCAACTTAAAAGCTGGAGGACCTGATAGCAACTCTTAAAACACTTTTAAAATGTGATTACCTAGTTAAAAAACAACTGCAGTTTTAAATTAACTTACCATTAGCTCTCTTGAATACACAGTACTTCTCTGAACTCAAGATTCTGTTTATTTTTACTGTTATGATGTCACAAACAATGCATGTATTACCAAAATTATCATCTGAATCAAAAAGCTAATGTAAAATGAAGAACATATCATAGAAATGTATAATAGGATCGTAGAATGGCCTGGGTTGAAAAGGACCTCAAAGATCATCTAGTTTGAAGCCCCCTGGTATGTGCAGGGTCACCAACCACAAGACCAGGCTGCCCAGAGCCACATCCAGCCTAGCCTTGAATGCCTCCAGCAATGGGGCATCCACAACCTCTCTGGGCAATCTGTTCCAGTGTGTCATTACCCTCTAAGTGAAAAAACACGGTGAAAACATTATACAACAAAACAATATTTAATATAATATACCCTATGTAAACTTGCTTTCAATGCAAAGACATAACCATTCCATTTTCAATTATACTTTGGTTTTATTTCCTTCTTTGTTGTTAAAAACAAGGGCAAGAATTTCACTTTCTAAGCTTCTCAAAAGACACCAGGTATCTTGAGATGGACAGATATTTCTGTTCACTGTTCTGGAAGTCCTTTGTTTACACAGAAAACCCCATAGAAAATTGAAGTGATAACTGCGGTTGAATCTTATTTTGACAATTTGTTTAATATGCTTAACTTGTAAAGGCATATCAAACTTAGACAATATTTTCAAGTTTTCCTTTCCTCTTTTCCTCTTCCTGTTCCTGTATTATACAGTAATTTCGAACAAAACCAGAAACATCTCAAGTTTGTAATTCCCACATTGAAAGTTGTTTCACCTTTGCTTGTTCTCTAAGTTTGATTTTATTTACACTTATATCTAGTCTCTTTATCTACATGCCTGAACAAAGCATAGGTTCTCTGAGCTCTGCTACATTTAGCACCTCTTTGGTACTGTTCTATAGAAGTATGGCAAGGTTACCTTTCTCCAAGTTGTCACCACCTCCTTTTGCTCTCATATGGTTTCTTCTTTCATGATTCTCTACATCACTGGTTCTCAGAATAGGAAAAAGCTGTTGATGGTCCACCAAGTGATTACCTAAGAAAAAACCATACACACTTCTGAATCATGCTGCCTACTGATCATTCAAGCCATAACCAAAGAAAATAAACTGGGAAATTCATTTCAGTTTACTTGAAATAAGAAATAGTTAATACTACATAACTTACTCTTCTGATTACTGCTGGGCCTCTAAGCTGTTAGTGATGAAAAACCAACAGTAAGAGACCTTGAATGAAAGGACCAATCAAGTATAAAAGCTTACAAGCACAGTGAATCCAGAACTACTTCAGCTTCTGACAATCTATACCTCTGCAAGAAACTTGCTGTATCATAGCACTAGTGGTGTTGTCATAAAGTGCTGCTTCTCAAGGTGAGGTTATAACAGTTGATAGCTTGGGGAATTCCTTTTCTTTTCCAAGAATCAGTTATTTTCCTCTCTATATATTTCTAACCTGACAACTTTTTTGTTATCAAGTCGTTATTATAAAATGGCACTAACTGAAGTGTGAAAGGATTTTCTCCAGTCATCAGTACAATATGTTACAGCTAGGACATGATAAGAGGATAGAAAGTGGGTCAAACAATGCCTCCCTTTAGGATAAACAGGGCAGTACAGTGCCAGCAGAAAGTTAGTGTAAATGAAAATAGAAATCAATCCTGACACTTTCCAAACAAACAAACAAAAAGCAACCACAGCGAATATAGGACACCTGCCTCTTGCAGAAACTAGATAAAAGTATCCACATCTCTTATTTAATAGATTTTGAGCCATGTTATTTTTCTCAATTTTTGGAATGTTTACAAAAGAAAAAAAAATTAAGTAATTGATATTCTACTTCCAAATATCCTGTAGCAAGAGGACTTTTAAAAGTAGAAGTTGTAATTTAGACCTAAAAATTCAAGTTAAAAATAAATAATCTCACTGGAGAAGTATGAATTGGTATGAATCAAAAATTGTCTTTCCGTAATGATGTTTTTCATTGAATTTATTAAAAACATTTTCATTTCAAATTTGGAGAGAAGTTTTCTACCCTTAGTAAGTGATGGAAAAACATATTTAAGCCAGAAAATGGAGGAAGAAAGGACATGCCATAAAAGTGGCCTACTTGCTCTACAATAACTTTAGAATGGTAATTATCTCTCTCAAACTGGAAGTGATCATTGTTTTTGGAAGATAAACACCCACTGTTACTGATGGAATGCAAATCTCAAAGCAGAAAAGACTAAAATATCTTTTTCTACATAAGAAAATGTTCTTACTCTCATGCAGATAGACCAGTACAATTATAGTTTAAAACACTATGTAGTCTTGATAAATGAATCACCTGTAACTGCAGTGATCTACTCACCATCTTCTGTAATAGTACCACTGCTGGAACCATTGCTCTTGGCCTGTCTGTGAGAAGAGGAGAGAGAGGACTCCATGTTGTGAACCTTAGGAGACGGAGAGGGTGATGGGGAAGGTGTGAGAGTTGGTGATGTGCTTTTAGATGTAGATGAAGTTCCAGATGGAGGTCTTTTGTTCATCTCTGTTTTTGGCTACAGTTAATAACATAATTATTTAGGGAAGAAAAAAAAAAGTATTTACCTGTATATGATGTTTTAATATTATTTACAATTCATAGAATCATTTCTACAGAGCATGTAGACACAACTGGATGTATCTGTTTGATTCGTACTGCAACAGTTGAGTAATACTGATTTATTCCAGATGAGAGTCTGTTCTCTCAAATTCATTAAGGAACATAAATGTACTAAGGTTGCAATTTTGGAACAGGAAAATTATTTTTCATAAAGCAATTCTCTACATAAGCATTACAATTAGTCTGCATATAAAAGGTGACATTATTTTGACTCAGGTCAACATAACAGAGGTTTTTTTTATTCTGTGTTTCAATTAAATAAAAAAATCCTTAATTAAAGCTCCTCAGAATGTATCAGATGCTATTTTAAACTAGCATTTCATGCAGGTATACTAAACGCCTTGCTTCACTGGAATGAAAGTTTGCAGACAGTCAAAGTGATTATTACCTAACCCCAATTTCTCTCTCTAGTCTATTATTTGACATTTGCAGAATGCTCTGCTTTTGGTGTATTGTCTGCACTTATACAAATTACATTACCCTATAAATTATTATTCAGCTTTTTGTTTCCTTTCTTTAAGTCTTGTACAGTCTCTCCTCTCACGGACAGCATTTGCAAACTGATCAGTGTAACTTCATGGCACTTTTTAGATCAGTTCCAAATTTAGACAACATAATCTTAATGGGAGGACACAAGAGTTTCCAAAATGGTTACAGACAATACATTTTCAGAACTGCTGCTTATTACAACAAAGTGGGCTGCTTAAGGTCTTGCAGCCAGTGTGGATCCCTATGTAATTGTGTATTCCCAGCAGACACTGATGTCCAGAAAATCATCCCAGAGGTGATATGTGAGCATCTATAGCGAGATCCACACCAATAATGTTTTATTATTGATGGATAAACTTACCTTCATCTAGACATATGAGCAAAGAGCACTGAAGAGTTGTTGCCTTTCTAACATACTAGCATAATTTCTATTTAAAAATCTTTTCAATAGAATTATGAACTGCATTCCCAGAAGATGATTTACAGTGCATCATTACTCACTACTTCTTTATCCCCGAACATCTTCCACTGTGAGTGTGAATAATAATTAAACTTATTACTGGCAGCAGTGTTGTAACGACAGGCCTTAAGATCAGCAGGTCAAAGCTTACAGGCACAGAAATTATACCTTAATAGGCCAACTAATGGAGCTAGGAAAAAAAGTATTATTTTTTGTATGTATAAGCAGTTCTGAAATTATTTCCAAGACAAAAACAAGCTGAGAGCAACTGCTGACAATTTAATTAGAAATATATTGTTCAGACCACCTCTGAAAAAAAAAAGCTTTTGGTACCTGTTCAGCAGGGGAGACTTTAAGGAGGGAAGAAGATAATAAAGTGACTTTGTCTACTAGAAAGAAGAAGACAGATCATTTATAACCTGCAGAGTAGTTATGTGGAGTAGAAAGGAAGGAAAGATTATAAGTCCATAGCTTTTGGAGTCCAGCAGAGTTATAGATTTTTAGCTCTTAATCTCAATTTTAAAACACAACTGGTAGTCCATTCAGAATCAGGGCTGAAAGATCACACAGTGACTGTTCATGGAAACTATTTTGGCATTGATAGTTGCACATTTTTCTGACTGTTGCCCTCTGAAATTTTGCTTTTTAAATCACTAAAGAACTTTGTGACTGTGTTTAACATCAAACATTATTAAACATGCCTATTCCTTACTGTTCCCATAGAAGACATCACAGAATGAGAGAGCAAATGTAATAATTTTACATTGCAGCCATTTTTGTTTCTTCAGGGAAAGCTCTAAGAAGAATCTTATGAACATGCGAAGAAAACAAAACAAAAAAAAAGAGTTGTCTGGAGATTACACAAGAAAAAGTTGAGTTTTTTCTCTTGGTCACATGTACTAATAGTTGCAGAATAAAGGACTTCAGAAATAAAACTCCAAATTATATGCTTTCTTTCTCTTGTTGTCTGAAATTTAAACTTTTCCTGTGTGAACAAACACACATTTCGCAACAGCATATAACATCTGCAAGGATGCTGCTCTCTCACATGCCTCTGTGTAGAGTCTGAAGATTTTACATCTTCATCCTTGAAAATTTTGCTTTATGCAGCCATTAGCTTCAAAGTCCACACACAAAAATGGGCAGGTCACGAGGGTAAAGCTATTTCAGAAAATCCACAGAAAAGTCAGCACAGATAAGATATCCAGTGCTTGTGAGCAAAACCTGATTTTGATAATGACATCTTGATGTTTATGCTGTTTAAAAACAACATCTTGTGGACCAGTACCTGTATACTGTTGGGATGAGCAGGTTATCTAACACTTTTCATTCAGGTTTGGAAGGAAGCCTTCCTCAGCTTTAGAGGAAAGCTTAGGAATAACAAACATGTAAAACACAAGCCTCAATTATGAGTCAAGGATGGAAATCATAAGAAATATGAATTCAAAATAACAGAACATATATTCCTCAAAATCAAGTATTACATTTACTGTTCGTAAAACAAAGTAAAATTAATAATAAAGCAAAATTGTATTTCATTATTAGGTCTGATCCTTTGAGTATTTTTAATTACAAGAAAGGTGTGTAAAGCTGTAAAGTTTCCACTGCTGTAGCAGTTAATTAATTAATTTTAGGCTGCGCAATGTCACACAGCTGTACTTATCAATCACTCATGACTGATGTGACCTATTAAAATAAGTCAATTTAGAAGCAGAAAAACTTACATTCATTTGTACCTTTACTACATGTCCATTACCAACTGTTTGAGCACACTGCGTATCAGACAGGGTGGATGAAGGAGTTGCCTGGATTGGACTATTGTGTTGGCTGGGCTTCTGTTCAGGTAAGCCTGCTGCTTTTCTTCTTTGGGCTGCAATCTGTGATAAAACATTGTCTGCACTGCCACCTAAGGAAAACAAACAAAAATAAACAACACAAAGAGTCAAGGAGATCATCAATTTTAAAAGTCTGTTAATACTCTATTCACCTGTCTTCATCATTCACTCCCACTTCAGAACTGTGTAAGAGGGAACTTTAAGGCTCAGATCTTTTCCGCAACTTTCAGCAAATGAGCAAAAAAAACAGCTGTGAGAGAAGAGAAGCCAACCTTGTTTATGTGCATACACATGCATGCAGCTGACTTTCATCCTCTTTGGATACATTTCCTGCATTGCTTCACCGTATTTTCTTTACTGTTGGAAGATACAATTCAAGCCACATATGTAAGCTCCATGAAATACATGCTGTAATGGACAAGTGTACATCTGAATCACCATGAGTGGATTCAATAAAATAAAAAAGTTTTCCTGATAGAGGAGTTAACCTATGAGACTTCTGCAACAGATGTGAGGCTTTTGCTCCCTTACATAGGTGTCCAAAGTTCACTTCTGTTCCAATATTTCACAGAAATGTTGATTGTGCAGCTAGAGTAGATTTCAGAAGAGGTTTAATACCTTCCAACATCATTAGAAATACTGCTTTTTTTTTGGTTGAATCAGGTTCAAGTGACTTTTGTATTAAAAATGATAGCAGCATGGTACCTGATCTGTTATGCAATTCTCCTCCATGCCTATTAATTCCTGCAATGTTATTGGATCCACCAGAAGAATGAGGAGAATGGTTGAAGTTGGTAGAATTTGAAGGAGATGCAGGTCTTCTTGCAAATGCTGGTAATTTGATTGGTCTCGTACCTTTGCTAACAGATGTCTGAAAAAGAAAAAAAAATTATCTACCTCAAGCAAAACAAAAATTAAACTTCAACAGCTATTTTACATATTTTAAGTTCAGATTAGTGGCAAAAAAAAAGGTAAAATATCTTTCATGCAGAATCCTTTTTTGTCTCTCACATCTTACAGAACAGCTACCACCTCCTTCTTAGCCTTAATATCCTTTCTTACTAATGAAGCTGCAACATGAATTTTCTGTCCTCCAGCTGCATATTCATATTCTCCTCAATGTAAACATCTACCTGCACCATTTTACTATTTTAACTGAGGCAGTAAAGATACACCTATATGCCAAATGCTTAACCACGTCTGCAGCTCCCTTAAATTCTGCTTATACATTATTGGCTACTGCCAACCATTTGATATATAACTCCTGAAGCTCAGCTTTTTTGTGCTTCTTAACTTGTTACTCAAATAACTTCTTCCAACTCTGACTTACAGTATTTCTCTCCTTGTTCCTATTCTCTGAGTAACACATTTCTCATTTCTTTCCCTACAGAAATGTAGCTAGCGACTAGTCCTCCTTTACATGCCTTGCTCGTCTCTTTATACATGTGAGCTAAGTACCATTTATGTTACTACAATCATTTTTAGGATTATAAATTAAACCTTACCTTCCTGAGATCAATTCCCTTCTAATCATAGAATGGTTTAGGTTAGAAGGCACCTTTAAGATCACCTAGTTCCAATCCCCCTGCTGTAGGCAGGGACACCTCCCTCTCGACCATGTTGCTCAAAGCCCCATCCAGCCTGCCCTACTGCACCACATTTCACCTAAACCTCCTTATTGGTGGTATTAAGCTAACTTTCACCTAAAACAGTAAGACAGAAAAAAAATCATTCTAAAATGTCTTCACTGTCACATTTCTAGAACTGACAGGAAATACACTTCTGGACTAGTAAAATAAAGTTTACTAGGATATTAGAGTCCAATTTCAGGCAAGTAGGATTTTCTCTGTGAGCAACTAGGAGAGCAAAGGTTGTCAAGATTGTTAAGGTCACATAATCATTAATTGCTAAAATTTTATCACTAAACTTCTCAGCATATTATGTCAGGATATTTTTGCATACAACATATCTCAGCAATTTTTCTTCACTTCCTCCCAGTTCTTAAAAAACTGAGAAACCTTCTTCTCCCACAGATTGTCTTCAGAACTAGAGCAGCTTCTGATATTCTAGAATGACTGTGCCTACTTTGGCAACTTATACATAAGGGTGGAAGCAACAGTCACTTTAGCAGTTTGCAGCAAATTCCTTATGGCTAGTCATTTGTTCCAATGAACATCAAACAAGACGTTTTATTTCACAGAAAACTTCCACACCATTTACATTCCTTCCATAGAGGTATGTATTCTTCCTAAAAAGCAGATCTTAAATGGAGAAGCCATTACCAAGACAATAGGTTCAAAATCATTTCTAAACACAGAACTGATGTGATTCACCAGCCAATATGCCCCGGACACAATAACACACAGTATTATTTTTACACATTTCATTTGCTTACTACATCTGAGTTCCCACTACTGTTAAAATCGTGCTTGATTGCTCTCTGTGGCCAGGCAGTTCTCATCTGTTCAGCTTTGCCATCTTTGCTGATTCGTGTTCGATCAGAATTCCAAAGCTCAAAACTTGAGGGTGGTAAGAAAGGGGGTATCACTGCTTTCAATTTATCGCTAGGCAGCCTGGTAAATGGAGCACTACTTCTCAACTGAGAGAGGGAAAAAAAGAAAGGAAAACAGAAATGAGATTCTTCTTAGAACATTATTGGGAGCTAATGCTACTGTTTTAAAGTTAAATAAAAAGATGGAGACAAATGCATTTTTAAACAAAATTAAATGGAAATGAGACATAAAAGTACCATCTGTGAAGATGCATAGCACATAATAACGGACAGAATCCAAGATGCATATTGGCATAAGGAAGTTCTTTCACTCAGTACAAAGAATACAGTTCACGAAGTGGCACAAACTGTCCCTTTCTTCATCAGTTTTAACAGGAATGTTAACAAGCAACTTCCAAAGAAACAACAAACAGGATGCTTGGTAAGGCTGTCCTCTCTGATCTCCTAGATAAGACACCTGGAAATATTGAACAACTGTTTGTTCCTGCCCTACATGTATTCACCAGAAAAAACGAAAAGAGCAGCACAAGTGATACTGGCTCCCTGGAGTTCTGTCAGTGAGTCCTATCAAAATTTACTCAATCTTCTTAAAAGAGAAAATAAAAGATCACCAACCAAATTTAATGACATCTCCACGGAGTAACCTGTAGGAAAACTTGAAGATAAAGCACAACAAAAGAAGAAACAGAATAATATAAATATACATCCCAAACTATTTCACGGTTTACTTTATTTCTCACTTCCAGATTGCTATGTTTCATGTCTTCCTCACAGCATACCACTTGTCAGTGAGTAATCAGCCATTCAGTCAATCTATTTTACTAATTCATTGCTGATCATACAAAAGGATAACTCATGAAAGAAGTCAGCATTCATCAAGAGCTGTCATACTGCACTATTTGTAGTACTTCCTAGTCTATAGAACAACATATGTATCACAGTTTGTCAGTTCCGCTCCACTGACTACCAACCAGTGATAGTTCTATTTGTAATGGTGACTTGTATATCATGTAAAACAAAAACAAAACAAAGCAAAAGCAAAACAAACAAACAACACTAAGTAAACACTAAATGCATTGTCTTCTGAACATGCCAAGAATGTTTAACATACCATGGTTGTCAATAATTCATCGTCCTTCCCTCCTTTTGCACTGTTTACACCTGAAAAATATATAAATGAAGTTTTATTGTCTGCATGCCCCTGCTTTTTATTCTTAAAGATAGCTTTTGTTTGCACAGAACTATAGAGCCACTATGGTTCAAAAAGATTTCTAAGATCAGCTAGTACAACCATTCTGAAACATTCAGCAGCTGTAACCTCAGTAAGCACAGAGAATCACATTTTCACTGATGCCTCATATACCTAAATTAAAGTCAGTAGTCTTTCTTCACATTAGAAACTGTGGGACTTTTGCACAGAGAGCTGTACAATTTCAGTAAATTTTCTTTATAATTTGGGCTTTTCTGAACTTTTTTCTCAGATTGCTTTTAAACAAACTGATTTTCACTATATAAATTATTTTATTGAGGATAGGAACAATTCTCGAGTGGGCTGTCCATTCCTGACAAATTTAAGGGTTCCTGCTACAAAGCAGTACCAGTGTTACTGTAGCATTTCCCTGCTGAAAGAAGGTTGCCCTCAACCATCCAGCACCATCAACAGTCAGGAGTACAAATGTATCTCTTTCTACACCATACAGATAGAATTTGTTACCTTTCAGCTACACTAAACTAAACAAGAACTAATAAACTAGAAATACTATCATCTTGACTATCCCACAGGAGCTCACTTCCTATCAGACAACTCCAGCTTTATCATTACCTGTGTTATTTGTGACCCATGCCATAGGAGCATCAGTAGTTCCAGAGGAGTTTGTGTCACTCTGTGGAACTGCTTTCATGGTGGAATTTAATGAAGATTCAGGTTCATCAGGAAAAGGCCCAAACTGATTGGAAGAAAATCCATGGCGCAATGTTTGAGTCAGCTTTAGCTTGCGGAACCGATTGGACATCCTGCTCCACCAAGACTGGATTGAGAAGGAAAAAGAACAAATTAGTTCCAACTAAAATAAAGCATGAGGAAAAGAAATGTACACTTAGGTAATCCTTACTGCAGTGATAAAGGAATTCAAGAGCGAAACTACAAACGCAATGTTAAAAATGATTTGCAAATATCAACAGAATCCTTCTACATCAGGCAGAGGTAAGATTAATCTTTGTCCTTATTCTTCATTCGGAAAATAGCTTCCAATACTTTTGCACACTAACTGAAAAGATGAAGTAGACAACAGTATTATGTTAATTTGAGCCAGAAATCTTTACAGCTACTCAGAAAATACTTAACTTGACAATAAACTTTCAACTTTACCATCCATTCCTCTGCTCAATGGCATCAGTGAATGGGAATGCATGTTTTCTTCTTTTTAGAGGCATACATAGAAATTATTGGAGCTGCATAGAAGCCTCTCCTTCAGATTTTGAAAATTAGTGGCAAACCAACGGAGTTCTGACAGTATTACTGTTAAAATCAAGATTCACAATACATATAGTGCCTTTCTACAGACTTTAACACTCCCAGACTGGAGAGAGACTATAGTCTGTCAAAGAACAAGGCAAGAAAATAAAACAATACATAAAACAATACTGCCTAAGGACTACTGCACCTGTAGCCTCTACCTATGTAGGTATCGTATATAAGGATAATGTCTGAACTTTTCTCAAAACAGAATTTATCCAAATAGATTACAGATTTCTGTATTTTTGTAGATGGATGACGCAAGATGCTTCCAGTATGGAGGATGGTTCCCCTGTTACATTTCTCTAGGTTACTCAGGACTTACAGTTTATATTAAGAAGACCCATACAGTTTGTATTAAACATCACGTGGCTTGGAGGCAAATAAGTCAAGATTCTAAAGATGGTCTGATTAGTTCTTAGTAGAGTCTCTTCTTTGCTTTATAGAACACTTAAAAAATTTAGTCATTTAAAAATTATAGTACTTCATCAAGACTGCTTTATATGATGTCCAGTCCAGACACGTACTTTTGTAGATCACTCTTTATACTTAGCCTTTACTCTCACCATATATATCCCACACTCTCCCTGGCATTTAATAATTTTCAACTGCTTACTGATATAACTCTTCCCAACTGTCGTAGAGTAGAAATAAGTAATATAAGCTGTAAACTTATTGCCCATAAATCAATCCCTCTAGCAAATGATCATTAAGATGATTTTAAAATCCACACAGAGTATTAGTAATGGATAAAGTACCTTTGTATCTCTTTGGAGCCATAACTAATAAAGATTTACATTACTTTCAGCAACAAAGACCTGAGGGAAAGGCAATAGAGACAAATGGTTCTGAGAAAGAAACAAAAACCACAGAGTTCAGCATTTATTCACCTGCCAGAAGGAAATCAAAGGGTGAAAAAATCCCTCTAGTTCTAATGTGGAGAACAATGAGCTTACAAAAGGGACTGATTGTACAATGTGGTTTGCTTGTAAAGGGATCAAAATAGCTTCACTGAGCAAAAAGATCACATGTAAGTTCCTCTCACATTTGCTACTCTTTACAGTGCTTCTAATTTCTTAACATATGCTCTCACCACAAAGTCACCTGAAATAAAGTAAGAGCAGCCACTACATTACAGTACAGAACACCTGCTCTCCGTCTCTCTGGCAAGAAAGGAATAGAAAGGAATTCTAGCAGAGAGGTTCATTTGTTTTTTGGACTTAGAGTGCACTCATCTGAGCTTTGGAGTCTTCAGTGTTCTGCTGCAGAAGGTTGTGGCCTGTCCATAAACCTTTTGCCTCATAGACATACAGAAGATGGAATAAAGGGTTTTAAACTAGGTTGAAAAAAGCCAAGTAACAAAAAAGTATTGACAGATGAAAATAGTGTCTGTCAAAAGGCCAAGATCTAGTAGCAATGGGAGAATGCAGTGGTATCAAAGATTAGAAAATGGTGCTGCCACTTAAGAAATACCTTAAATGTTTATAGCAATATTAGAAAGTTAGCATGGGTTTGTCAGAAATAAATCACACCAAATCAGTCTTTCTCTTTGTCAGGATAACGGGTTAAAGTGGGCTGAAGGGAGGAGAAGATTTGACATAGCTTGACATTAATAAAGCTCATCACTATTCCATGTACCACACTCTAAATGAGTGAGAGAAATATGCTCCCAGTAAAAATAGTATAGGGAAAGTAATATGACCAAAAGACATACCAAGAAACAAATTGGCAACAAATTACTCTCAAATTGGAAGAAAATATTTAGCGGAACACGAGTTTGGAAATATTCATTAATAAATGCAATGATGAAACAGAGTTTATTTTGTATAGTTTGTGCAAGACATCTGGACAGATGCTCTAAATGATACTGATAAATTGACATTTTTCAGAAGGTGATACGTAAGAAGAGAAAATCAAGTGTACAAATACATAAAAAGGAATAAGCAGCAAAGCAACTCTACTGAAGAAAAATGGAAATCAGAGTTGTATCATCCCACTAAGTATAGGTCCTGTAAGAACAAATCTACAGAATCCTACTGCTTGATAAAAGGTACGTTTCCAACCATTTAATGAGATACACAACTAGGACCCTAGTTAGAATTTCATGATTTGTTTTGGATACCTCACCTTAAAACAGATAAAGACATAACAGAAATAATATGAAGTTTAGGAACCATAGCCTGCAAACAAGGAAATTTGAGTAAGAAAATAGTAAATAAGAGGATGAGGAGAATTTAATATCTAAATATGTATGTAGTTCTTATAAAGATGAAGCTGGACACTGATAATTGAAAAATAATCAATCAACATAGAATATAGCAAGAGAGATTTGGATTAGATCAGGGGAAGAAAAATCTGACTCTAGGAACCCACAAGCAGTAGAACTAGGTGTGGAGGAAGATCATGAGATCTTCTTCATCACAGTCAGAGAAAGGACATTAGAAACCTTGTTGAGGAAATTCCTGTCATACTCATTTGTTCTCCTTACATAAAGGCAAGTGGGCCCCTGAAGTTCCCTGTCATTCTTCCATTTCCTGCAATTCAGAAGATTCCATGTTTTGCCATTTGCATTGACCTAGATAGAAAATTCATGTTTTGGTTGAGTCACCATAAATACCTAACTGAAAACTTCTGGGCAATTTGTCCTGGCTCCATGCAGAGAAGCTGTACAAACGGAAGAACATCTGTTGCAAAAGACAGATCCTCACTTAGGCATTCTCCTTGCACACTGCTCAAAAGCAAGATGAGTTTGATGACCACCCCAGCAACTCTGAGAATGTCATTTTTACTCTCCGAACATTGTAAGAAGAATAAGATGTGGAAAATACAATCAGACAAAATAGGTAATAAAGCATTATAAGCAAGAGGAAGCTATATAGGCTTCCAGGTTTCTAACTATCTATCTGTTTAAACACACACACAGGAGAATTATATAGAATACAATTTCTGCTGGAAAAGTGCTTGATTAAGACTTGAAGATAATATGAAGTTTTGTTGCTTTGAGACCAAATATTAAAACATTCTACAAGTTGTGGAGTATTGTCCAAGCACGACTTTCTGAAGAAGAGGAGAAATTGTGCAAGACCAGAGAACAGGACAGGGTGTGCCAGTGAAGTACACTGTAGTGACTGTCTTCTCTCTTGGTGAAATAAACCAGGGATCGGGGTGTGACACACGTAATTAAATGTGAATATTTTGAATATTCATATTTAAATCTTTATTAGGGACAAATCTTTCAAAATTACTTTTTTTCTACTTTCACCTTGAAATCCTACATGACTCCAATTCGGCCCTTGCCCCATATCTCTGCAGGAGATGAAGTCTGATCAGCTGTTGATGTGCTTTACACAATGTAAAGACTAGGCAAAGCTAGATAACTGCATTCCTAAAAGGTCCATCGAAATTGATACCAAAGGATAATCACATGAAAATAACAACTTGTCACTTCAAGAATTGTAGGACAGATTCTAAAGTAGAACTATAAATGATCTTCAAAATTCATGTCAGGAATAGTCTGGAAATTAGCACATGTGTTTCCAAGATTCTGGTAATGTTTATGTAAAAATTGTGAGCTCACAGATGCAAAGAAACTCTGAGGCATATAATCACCAAAACATGTTCACCTAAGCAAATGAATACAGCAACAACAACAGAATAAACTAATCTGTTTTTTTTCTTCTTTTTTTGAGAACAGACCACATAAGTCACAATATCCTTATTCAAATGGCACCCACTGTTTTTTCCTATTGGTTAATTGCTAATTTCTAATTAAGGATACAGCATTGCAGTTATTCTACACAGAGGACATGTAAGCCCTCCACTCTTGCATGGTCTTCCATTTTTCATATTAAAGGTCTGTTATGACATTCATAATTTTTAGTGCCAACTTCCATTCATGATTTCAATGAAGTCTACCCACCCTCCTAAAAGCTTGCTGCTTCATGATGAATCTAAACTCCTCCTTTTCATTATTCTTACATTTAGATGACAGAGACAGCCTCTCAGTTTCTTTGGCTGTCCTGCACACAATCACAGAATTTTTGAATACATGACCTGAATTTCTGTTTCCCTCCTACATCATTCTTCTTCCTTCTAGTGTCAACTATAAAAGCAAAATATAAAGAACTACTGTTGCAATTTCTACCTAGAACAAAAAGATAAAAAGCAGCTTCTCATTGTGTTAAGAGAGAGAGAAAAAAATCCAGTAACACATACACTCCCATTCCAAAGAAGAGAAGATTAGTTGTGAGTACAGGAAAAGTCTACAAAAATTAGATTACATTTGCATGATTTAAAACTAGGATCATAATGGAAATTCGGTTCCAAACTTATGAATGTAGTATCTTCCACTATTTAATTATCACCCCTACTTCTAGGCATTGAAACGTGCTTTGATGCTGACTCTTCTTTAAAAGTCTTCTCTTTGCCTTGTTACCTGAAGAGAAATAAAGTAAGACATATACTACATTTCATAAAACTAAGAAACACTGCCAATTAGGAATTCAGAAAGGCAAAGATCCCAACAACTAGTTACACATTAATTAAAAACTACTTCTCTGGAATGACCTTCTCTGCTTCACAAATAAAGGATAAATAAAAGTATTTACCTTTAGACCTCCTTTGTCATCTGGCAGCATTGGGACATTTAAGGATTGCCTACTTCTGGAAGAAGGCAAAGATGATCTGTTGTTCATTTTATTCTTGTCTTTGTCTACTTGCATGCACGCTGATGCGAGTAACCGTACAAGTTCTGTGTCTAAAAGAAATAAATTAAGATACTTTTTATTCTATTTTGCTTTGCCAAATCACGACTGATAATGCTGATGATTTTCCTGTAACTCCCACTAAAGTTTAATAATAAATCTAAAACTCTCAATGCAGATGAGTACTGACATCTTTGTTTCTTGTCCTGTTTCCCACCCCTTCTCCCCACACAATGATCTGTAGTCTTACCATCACCTCTCTAAAGATATTTAGCAGTATAAATAAGAATATGATTCAGCTGGAATCTCTGGTATGACCAAGTGAACTGCCTGCTCTAGTACTCTGCATAAGTTCAGAACAGCACTGTGGTGCTCCCTTTTCTCACCTGACATAGAAGAGAGCAGAGAAAAATGAATATTCTTTCTTCAAGTGCAGGTTGCAGAAAAGAAGCTTGAAATTAAATCCCAAAGAGAAAGGAGAAGTTCAGCCTGGACAATGAAGGGACTGAAAAGACATGGTAAGAAAAAAAAAAAAAAGAGAAAAAAAGTAAGAAAAAAGGAAAGGAAAAGGCAGGAAAAAAAGAACAAACATGAGATGAGGACAGGAAGGCAAAAAAATATTCTGTAAAATTCTGTTTTATGCAGAAATAAGAAAAGACTTTCAGAAGGGCAGACAGAACTGACCTATATATTCCTCTTTCTGAACAGGCAACAGGATGAACTATCTGGTCCTACAAGAAGTTAATCGTATGAAAAATATATTCACTGTATTCATTTTCTAAAATTTCATACTATTAGTTATCAACTTTAGACAAAGAAAAGATACATGCTAGTGACCAAAAACACCATCTTGAGTAAACACAGAGAAAACACACTAATTCCATTAGCAGTATGGATTTTCAAATTTGGAGAAAGCAATCCAGGTACCAGGTAAGGTCAACAATAAAGTCCCAAATTAGATGAGCTAAACAAACTACAATAAAATCTAATTGAGATCTCTCCAAAGCATGCTGACTTTTCCTAAAGCACTCCTGTAACTAACGGTTTTAAGACTAACATGTGACTTTTCTTAGTTTTGTATGTGGAAGTGATGCTTGCCTACCTACATTTTTCCAAATAGGCTCAAGTATGTGAACTGGTGAATTGCTGTTGAGGTTTTTTGTGCCTTTTTCTGCAACGCTGAAATTGATTAGTACTTCGTGGTAATGGTAATGGGAGAACGGTTGGACTAGATAATCTTGTAGGTCCTTTCCAACCTTGTGATTCTATGACTGCACTCTCTTTGTCCTGATCCTACATAGCTTCTTACTAATTGGAAACTTCTAGCTCCAGTTCCTAGTTCAGTGTTGAAGAAGCTACAGAACACACGAGCCACAACAATAAAATAACATTGAACAGGATCTGATGACAAAAACACCACATTTTAAAACACCTTCAAAAACAAAAACAGGAGGAACAAACTCAATTAGCCCATATGGTTATTTATCCATCTGAACAATTAATTCAGGAAAAATATTTTTCAGACAGTATCCTTATTTGGTCCAGTAAAGCATGGACCTCAAACAATCATCTGTAGAAACCTCAATGTAACTTTGAGTTTATCTGTTTATGTTGCAATTACAAACGCTTCCTTGGTGCTCTCTGAAATAGCATACCTGGGTCATTCAGCAGCATTATCAAGTCAAAAGCAGTATATCCATTTTTTGCTCGAAGATTGACATCAGCTCCTTGGTTTAACAAATACTTTACAACTTCTTTGTTTCTTCAAGTCAGAAAAAAAAAAATTGCTTATATGAGAGAAAGAGATAAAGAGAGAAGACCAGTGCTTCATTTCTATCCTTTTATACCATTTCTCCTCAATTACAGATCAGTTTTACCTTTGCAATACCTAACCAAGTATAAAATTTGTCCACAATTTAGTCAAGAGCTCCCATGATTACTTTGTCACACACTTTTTACTTACTACAAACTGCACTAATTGGCATGCAGAAAGTCTGCTTTAAAGAACTAATTTAAATAATCAGTTTCTTAAGCTGCCCTTTGGAAATTATCCTAAAACTTGTTGCCAATTTCCCAATGAAATTTCGGGTAAAAAGCAGGTGGAAATACAAAGGTTGTTCCAGAAATCACTATACAACACCATTAACAAATAAAAACAACTTCATATTCATAACAGGTAAGAAATTGCATATAATAAAAGCCAAAGTGACTAAAAATAATTTTGAACTCCAGACAGTCTTCACTTAGAGATAGATATTTCCTTGAAGTGCCTAGAATGCATAAAAATATCAGCTATAGTGATAATACAAACACCTTCTAGCAAAAGCTCATAAAAGCAAGTTGCATGACTCACCATCCAATCCCCATCAATCCCTCTCCTTTCTCATATTCCTGAAAAAGTAAGCAGGACTTGCCTTGCAAATTAAAACCAATACTGTACTACAGCCTACAAAATAAGTCGACAGACTGCAAAGTTATGGGAAATATATTCAATACAAAATTCCTCAAGACTGACCTTGTATAAAAACAAACTGTCACACATAACCACCAACTCAAAAGAACAAATGTTCTCAAGCAGCAATAGTTGACCACCAACTCTACCACAGAAGCTAACAAACAAATCTCAGCATCTCCACTTCAGAGAATTACTTCTATCTGAAGACACACCAAATAAAATCAACCTAAAATTAAGAACAACTGTTCTCATCTTCTACAAAACCTCTGCATTCTCAGTGTAGCTCCTCAGCATTCTTCCCTTACTTTTCTTCTACTCCTTAAAAATGTGTTCTTCATCCTGCTTTCCCATTCTGCATCTTCAGAGCACACAGAGTAACTCGATCCTTCAGAGTTCTTGGCTCACATAGACCTTGCTTGCACAGATGACACCACCAACTACTGCTGCTTCTAACAAGGGGTAGCAGAGATTCTTTGGAGTATAAGGATTTCCAGTCCTTGTTTTCACAGACAAGAGGAATACTGAATACAGGAGCCTCCTGCATTTAAATATTGCCAACTGTAGGACTGAGATTACACATGAAGTACCCACCCTTCTGGGTTTTGACTCTTTATAAAACAGCCTTAGAGAAAACAAGTTTTCCGGTAAACACATTTTGGAAAAGTTAATGAGAACTTCTGAAGAGGGGAACTGTAAGAATGGATTTTGGACCAGAAAACAGGGCACAGGCAAAAGTGACGGCCTTGAGTTTGGTGCAGGCTTTCTAAGAAGATGGAAATTGCTGTTAGACCTCAACAGCACTTAACTTACCCATGGTATGTGGCCTGCATTAGCGCTGTCCAACCATGAACATTATCCTGTTTGTCAACATCAGCATTTTTCTCAACAAGGAGCTGGACAAGGGGCAGCTGTCCAGTTACAGCTGCAATCATTAATGGAGATGCGCCATCAACATTGGTAACATTGACTTGACTTGAGTCTTCATCAACTATCTCTTTAACCAGCTGAAAGTTGCCTGCAAAACAGTGATAAAAAAATAATTTACACATCAGCAATAGATAACTTCTCAGTGAATTAATACACATATTTAGATTTGCTGACACTGGCCTACATTAACTGGAAATGGCTTACATAACTGAGCCATAAAGGCTGTACAAACAACAGAATATCTCACGTGGGGTAGGTAACTTTTCCATAAAATTGTCCTAAGATGACGTACAGGAAACAGCAGTGATGCTGAGACACAGTCATTCAGCAGGACTAAGATCCCTGTTCAATTTCCATAGACAGAAATCACAGAAAGCCACAATTCTAGAATAAGAAAGTACAATGGAGGTTAACCTTTATTTAAGTAGGAAGAACAACATACAATGTCATACTGACCCATAACTCCTTCCACAAAGGTGGTTTCTCTTTCTAAAAACCACTGCCAATGAGAAGCCACAGCCTCTTAGGGAAAGAGTCCATTACAGTGCTCAACTTTCTTGTACTCAGAAAGAAGTCCTTTTTTTAAACTCCGTTTCTGATATTTAAATTAAATCTCCAATCTTCCCTACTCCTTCGTCAAGAGTTATGCATTATTCCTGTCATCTTTTTTAAAAGCAAACCTAATGTTCACATTTCCACATAAAAGGCTGGTAGTCACCAAGATTACAAAAAAACTATGCAAAATATGGGTAGTATTTTTTTGTCTAAATCATAATAAAGAGAGGAAAAGGAATTTTTAAAAAATGTATGAGGTTAGTCAGGGGCATTTTCTGAAGAGAGTTTAAATTCATCCAGCTCCCATACTTTTTTTGATGTCATACGGCAAACAAAAGCACGGAAGAAGCTAAGAAGAAAAAAGACCTCTGATTGACTATGTACCATTGCAGGAATAGAGGCAAAAAGAAACAAATCCACAACTGCTGTGCTGATGAAAATATTTTCACATACTAAAAAAACAAAACAAAAAAACAAAAAAAACAACAACAGCAACTTAATATACTGCTTCAGGACATGGATTTCCCTCAACAGAATCAGTTCTTTCCTTGGAAAGATTGTCAGAACTCCAGATACGCCCTGCAGGCACCTGACTGTATGTCACCCACACTAATAACCTAATTTCTTGGAAATGGAAAGTACAGAACTGATTTTTCATTCTCAATTCAATAAAAGACATCAAGTGGCCTTTTTTTAACATAGAAGTACATCACAGACTTTGTTAAACAGAAACCTGGAACCCAAAGAAACTCCAGAATTGAACTCTAGGGTCCTGTCACTTCTTACCATAGCAAAGCTTTTTCACAACCAAGTTTTTTAGAAAACAAACAAAAAACCAAAAACAATGCACTGACTAATATTCATCTGGCTCCCCTAAAAATACTTCTGACCCAGCAATAACATTTTCAAATCTCAAACTAAAGGTCTCACAAGTATGAGAAGGGCAGATGAATTGAAATCTGACTGACTCAAGGCTGTGCTGAAGCTTACTAATTCTCAACGCATATACCACAGTCAGCAGGCGTACAGACAGCTTTCAGTGCTCTAGATCACAGAATCACAGAATGATCTGGGTTGGAAGGAACCTCAAGGATCATGAATCTCCAACCCTTCCCACCACAAGCAGGACCACCAACCTTCATTTTTCATACTAGACCAGATTGCCCAGGGCCACATCCTACCTGTCCTTGAACACCACCACAGATGGGGCATCCACAGTCTCTCTGGGCAGCTTGTTCCAGCACCTTACCACTCTCATAGTAAAGAACTTCCCCCTGACATCCAACCTAAATCTTCCCTCCTTCACCTTCAAACCATTACGCCTTATCTACTCTGTGAGAATACAAGAAAAACTGTTCAGAGCAGAAGTTGTTCAGCAAGATAAACAGCACTACTCTTTCAAAGAGTTGACTCCCCTCCTGATTATAGGCTCCCTTTAGGTAGTGAAAGACTGCAATTAGGTCACCCTGCAGCCTTCTTTTCTCCAGGCTGAACAAGCCCAGCTCCCTCAGCCTGTCTTCATAGGGGAGGTGCTCCAGCCCCCTGATCATCTTTGTGGCCCTCCTCTGGACCATCTCCAACAGCTCCTGTTCTTCCTTGTACTGAGGGCTCCAGACCTGGACACAGTATACAAGATGAAGCCTCACAAGAACACAGTAGAGAGGGATAATCACCTCCCTGTCCCTGCTGGCCATCCCTCTTCTGATGGAGCCCAGGATACCATTTGCTTTCTGAGCTGCAAGAACACATTGCTGGCTCATGTTAAGTTTTTAATCCATCAGGACCCCCAGGTCCTTCTCTGCAGGGCTGCTCTCAAGGACTGCTCCTTCCATTCTGTATATATACCTGAGATTCCCCCGGCCCAAGTGCAAAACCTTGCACTTTGCTGTGTAGAACCTCACCAGGTTCACTCAGGCCCACCTTTTGAGTCTGTTGAGGTCCCTCTGGATGGCATCCTTTCCTTCCACTGTGTCAACTGCACCACTCAGCTTGGTGTCATCAACAAACTTGCTGCGGATGCACTCAATTCCATCATTGATGTCACTGATAAAGATGTTAAAAAGCATCGGTCCCAAAACAGAACCCTGGAGGACACTGCTTGTTACCAGCCTCCACTGGACACAGGACCATTAATCGCCCTCTGTCTGTGGCCTTTCAACCAATTTCTTATCCATCAAGTGGTCCACCCATCACATTTGGAGATAAGGATGTGGTGGGAAACCATGTCAAAGTCCTTGCTCAAGTCCAGGTAAATGACATCAGTTGCCTTCCCTTTGTCCACCAATGCTGTCACTCCGTCATAGAAGGCCACCAGATCAGATTTTCTATGCCACATATTGTGTACAGTTCCAGACAGGCTTACTAAGCCCAATGCATACCAGGACTGTATTAGCCCCACCGCCTGGGGCATCTTAGCCCAAGTAAGGGAAGGATGACAGGAAAAGAAGGAAATCTCTCCTGAGACTATCACAGGTTTCATGGGACCCTTCTCATGTTGTCACTGGATGTAAGACTTAATTTCCTAAGATTTAATATTCTTCCCATATTTAAGAAGATAAATAGGTAACTAGAAAGCAGTTAGCCAGTCACCAGGAGTGCAACCCATCACAGTCTGGATCAAATTTAAATCAACAGGATGGCTCTGGCTTTTTCTGTTTCCCACAAAATAGATTCATCAGTGGTGTGCTCATGAAAGTCACTCTTCATCATGAGAGAACAGACAAGATCTGAAGCACTTTTTTCTTGAAGCAACTTTTAATAGCAATTACAATGCACGGAGTAGAGGCCAGCATGCTTTTTGCAAAAAATTAACAAATCTGTTTTTTGTACTTAATGTATACAAGAAAAAATGTCACGTTAAAGTAGCACAGTCATAGAAAACACTAAATCACACCACTGTGGCACGAAGGACATGACCAGGATCTCATAAATATTTTCTCATGTTGGAATGGGAAGAAAAATAAATTCAAACCACAGAAATAAATGTATTTTTAAAAATGAAAAGGAAGAAAGCAGTTGTGAAAACAGAACACATTTGATCATCACTATGTTTTCCATGTTAGCAAACAAGCATGCTGAGTGGTTACAGGAACCAGGCAGTAGAAAAATCCTGCCAGCTTACCCAATTTCAAAGCATGAAAGATGTCAGGTTGCCTCTTCTCTGTATCTGAAAAGCATAAGCACTTCAATTAACAATATTTAAAATGCAAAAATTTCTTGTAAAAATTTACAGCAAAGACTTTTTAAAAAACAAATTCTGCACAATTATACTATTAAATGAATATTTGCATATACATTTATGAGAACAAAGAATGCACAGATAATTTTTATTCCCTTCAATAAGAATGACTTACCTGTATGGTAAACACTGTAAGCCTGTAGGCTAAACACTGTAGTACCATAGCACTAGTACTGGCTTTTTGCCTTTCAGCTTCCATTCTGCATCAGGAAATTGTATTAGGAAATTTCTGTATTTCCTTCCTGGAAGACCTAAGTATCAATTAAAGAACCACAGTATGCTTCTGTGGTCAGGTGAGACCCTCTGTACAGCAGTAAACACTCAAATACTAGAGGATTGTTTTGGAAAGTGATTCAAAAAGAGTTCTGTAAGATGACCCATTTTTTTTTACTTTGCCTCAAGTACTGACAGGTTAACTTGTGAAGGTCACAAAAATAATAGTGATGATCAAATGCTATTTGCACATTAATAGAAATCCATCACTCTTAGATCATCATGACCTAAAAAACTACTGTAATTATTACAGTTTTAATACTTTAAGTGACAAATGTTTCTTTCTGTATGCCTTCCCAGTGTTTTGAAACTGTTGACTCTGCATCAGATGAGGGAAAAATAGTGACATATTTTGCACTTTCCACTCGAACCAGAAAAAGATTTCCTTCTGTCTTCCAAGGCATTACTGAGACTAGAGCCAATGGGCCAAGAAGACTTTAAAGAAAACAAGATGTTGAGAGGTCTCCCAGGACTGATTCAGAAAAGGTTAACATTCATAGCTTGACTAAAAAAGTAACTTGAAAATGCTGAACAAAGGCAATTGCTGGAAAGTCTGAAATAACAGAAGAAACTGTGTGGGTTCTATGTTTTCTTCTGATTAAGAAACTGCTAACAGAAGGAGCCATATGTAAGCTCACTGTTAGAAAACATTTCAAAAGATTAGTTGAGGAAAGGACGAGACTTTATACTTGGCATGCACAGTCTGGAAGAGAGGCAGCCTAAGGGAGTAGGGGACCACAAGGAGGTGCCAGAAGAAAGGACTACCACCCGTGTAAGCTGAAGCAAGGACAGGGACTGTACACAGGCAACGCCCAGGCCTTCAGAGGCAGTACTGATTTTGTTACTGAAAACATCCCAGAGAAGAGAGGTGCTTTCATTTGGGATGCAATTTGTCCTGTGTACGGTAGTGGCCAAGAAGACAAGTTCCTTTTTTGTTGCCTTCCAAAGGATATGCCAGACTGCAGTGCTAGAGTAGACTAAAGCCATGGTCAAACATCATTGTTTGATTTGCTGCGGAAATTTATTCAGATGTTTAATATTTTTCATCTCTTCTCCATCGCAATTAGTTACTACCCTTCTGCTGATGGAAACTCCGCCTCAGCTGAGGTAGCAGGAACACTTATCTGCTTTAATGCAAGTCCATTCTTCTAGCTTAAGCACACCTTTTCCATCCTTTAAGTTGAATGGTTACAGAAGACCTTCAAGACTCATCAAGCTAACTGTGCATGCACAGAACTTACATGCAAGATCACAGGCAAGACAGAGGGTACTGCAATAGCAAATCCCACAGATGCCCAATTCTGTGTAAAGTAACCAATCAAGGTCTCTTTCCCAGAGGCTAGTCAAGAGCAAATGCCAGCAGTCAGCCAGTTCTGCCTGGTAGCCTGGCTGTGTGGAAGTTCTTGCTCCAAACTTAATCTAGAAGTCAGCATCTGACTGAGTTCAAACCTCCTCTGAAGCAGAAGGAAGTGTCAGATTTCTGTCCTTCCTTCTTAAAGTACAAGGAAAGCTTGACCTGCAGAAATCAATTTAAGTAAAAATTAACAAGCTTTAAGTAGGTGACCGGGATTGTGGGTTATCTACCCTGCACTGTAACAGAGAAATAATTAGCTAAGATTTAAATAAACCTCTCCGGGTATCACAAGCTGCAGAGAGCTTAGAGTGGACTAACACAACCTGAAGGCTTTCTACCACTATGGCTGAATGAGTGGAAGCACCTGGGAAAGGTTTCTTAGGGTCAATCCTATCCTTAGATTTTATTGCAAAACCTCTAGTGTTAGAAATCCAGAAGCCTATCCTGCCTTACAGCTTTTACAAATCCTCTTTTGCTGTCAGCATAAACAAACTTCTGGAGAAGGAAAATGAGTAAATCCACAATATTTTACCAAAACTATTGTAAAACATTTGTAACATTTCAAATTGACAGCTGACAACAAATAGGCTCAGCCTTTACATTTAATAAAAAAGAAAAACCTAGGAAATTGGAGGAATAGTAACAGAATAATACAGAATAACAGAAGAATATCCTGTCATCAGAATACAAATTTACTTAGTAATTCAAAAAGAAAATAACTAGTAACAACATATACTGTTCTGTCCTTCTGGTTCATTGTGTGGTACTAAACATAATGAAGTTTGGATAAAAAATGTTGCAGTCAAAAGTTTGCTCCCATCTTCTTTAGCCTTCAGATCATCTAACAAGGTTGTTTTTTATCCTTCAATTCCCTTGGCTAAAGCTACCATCACATATTCATTAACAGCACAGTCACAGACTGCTTCTTTATCAGTTCCTTTATCTCATTCAGTGCATAATATATGCATTACAATGCAGAATTAAAACCACCATAAAAACAACATTTCTGAATGCCATTTTACTTGAGATTTGCATTGAAATAAAGTTCTTCTCATCTAGTTTATATGTGTGTTAGCATAGTCTGTGCACACATGCAGGCATATTCACATTTGAGAGGAGCAAGTTGTTTATAAATTTTACAAAGTCCTGAAATTATTTAAATATTCCCCTCCCTCGGGATCAGAAAAGTAGTGACTCTTCTAAGTCACTCAAGGTCTAAACTTCACCACCAAACACAATATCTTGTTTGCCACGTAAATTCCTCTATCTTTGAACTTTCAGGTTTTTTTTTCCCGTTGGCTATCAGTCAAAAAGGCCCTTCAGTGTTGGAGTTCTTGTCCTTAATGTGGACACTGTTAATCATTTCTCTTAGCTACTTCAGGAAGCTAGACAAATGCAACACTTTTAGTCTCTCACTACAATGCAGGTATTCTAGATTTTATATTTTTAAAGTTGTATCTCAGTTTGTGATATCCTTTCTTTGGTACCTTACTATGTTTATGTCACTATTTCTTTAGACCTCTATTAAGTAGATGCTTAATGAGCATCTATATAATGTCTTATAAAGATTTAAAAAAAGAAAGGGTTGAAAACATTATAGAAATTTAAAATATTCTGAATATTTTTTGTTGCAGGACAGGAATTTTGTCACACTAATGCGGAAGAAATCTGCTGAAGCCAAGCATTCCTGCCTCACCCAAGATAGGTGCACCTGCTCCAACATTTTCAGAAGTCCACTTACAAATTTTAAAGAACACAAGCATACATACAAATTAACACCTTCAATTTTCAAATACAAGATCAAAACTTCAAGAAAGCAAAAGAAAAAAACAATGTCCCATACCTGTATGAATTCTAATTGTTGTGAGAGATTCCAGGTAGTCCTTCATGTCTTTGTGCTTGAAACCCACAGAGATTTCAAAAGGTGTTTTATGCAGTACATTGAGGTGATCAGGATTGGCACCCTTCTCCATGAGCTGCTGTGCTAAGCTCACCTTACCACTAACAGCTGCCAGCATTAAAGGACTCCAGCCCATAGTCTTCACAGTGTAATTGCAATCAGCTCCCCAGTCTAGTAACAGATGTACCACTGCCTCATGTCCATGTTGTGCAGCTGCCATTAATGGAGTGATGTCAGGAAGGTCGTCTCTGCTGCTGTTAAGCACATTTGTGCTAAAATGGTCATAATTGTCTACATAAGCTCCAGATTCCAGCAACAATTTTACCATGCTGACATGGCCACCTCTACAGGCCATCGTGAGGACACTGGCTCCTAATTTGTTCTGTGCGTTGAGATCAGCACCATTTTCCAGCAAGATGTGAGCCACGCTTAGGTGTCCAAACCTTGAGAGAAAGAAAGAGGTATGAAATAAGGTGAAGGAACACCCTGGATCGTAGAGGCTGCAGACATGCTTTGAAAACTGACATACTCCAAACACAATATCATTACCAAATTGGCCTACTGACTAATGGAAAGGACTGGCCTACTATGGAGGATTATAAGCAACTCAAAGAAGGTAGATTCAAACTTAAAGATGGTAGATTTAGGTTGGATATAGGGAAGATGTCTTTTACAGTGAGGGTGGTCAGGCACAGGAACAGGCTGCTCAGAGATGTGGTGGATGCCCCATCCCTAGATACCTTCAAGGCCAGGCTGGACCAGGCTTTGAGCAACCTGATCTAGCTGTGGATGTCCCTGTTCATTGCAGAGGAGCTGGACTAGATGACTTTTAAAGATCCCTTCCAACTCTGTGGATTCCATGATTCTATTATTCAATGCATACATTACTGAATGGGCCCGTGATCACCTTACTGGAGGGGAGCAATCAACAGCTGAGGACTGCACCTTCCTAAAACATTTCACATGCACCAGTGACCATGCCCATAAACTAGACATCAGTATAAGAGCCCTGGCCAAAGCAACAATGTGTTAGCTTCAGGACATAGCTTCCATAAACTACAGACCTTGAAGTCACTTTCAACCTTATATTCCAAGGCCTATATTAGAGTTGAGGATCAAAGTCTGTTCGCTTGTAAAGATCTTAAATAAATACCCTCTATACTATTAAATGAGTAAGGCAAAAACTTCAAATAGTCCATGCTAAAGAAAAAAAAGAAAAAGAAAAAAAAAACAAGAAAAAAAACAGGCTGTTATACTAAATGGTTTACTCATCTTTTGTAATACCATCATCCCCTGCTTTGTAGTTGGGAAAAATGAACCAACTCCCTAACTCCCACAGTGAAAGAAGGCTCAGTGAACACAGGCAAGTGTGATGTGCTCACAAAGCTTAGAAAACAATATAGCAAGTAGCCACTGTTATTATAAGGGAAGATGAACTTAGCACTGGGGGAACAGAGAAACTCTTCTTCTGTGAAACACTGGGAACTTGGATTCTGATGCTGGTTTCACCAAAAGAACATCACACAGGCCACCCCTTCAATCACTGCTAGTTCACAGTGAGAAAATAGGACCCTTAGACCCCTCCTCAGCTGAAGAAGTAATCTCTCATTTCACTAAACATAAAACATTTACAGAATATGTACTTCTGCGCAGCTCAATGCAGCTACCATGCATTACTAAACGCGTGTGCAGGGTTAAACACAATCAAGTTTTGATCCTGAAAGCTCCTTTCACATGCTAAAGAGAAACAAGTGTTATTTGAGGAAATCCCCAGGAATGCTACCTAACATTAAGTGCAGACATGGGACCCAAACTCCCTGGTGTCCTTGGAGAAAACACACAGCTGCAGAAGGAAACCTCCAAGGGCTGTGTAGTGCTTAGGGTGTAACCTTCCCACTTTCACTACATCACTACAGCAGCTTCTGCAGTCACTGGAAACATGGTTACTTTTATACATATATGCTGTCTTACCAATTTCAAGAGGACTAAACACAGCCAGAAAATTCAATATGCACATAGTTTGAAAAGTATGTCTGTATGGTTACTGCATTTCCTTTTTAGTTATCCATTCAAAAAAAAAAAAAAAAAAGTTTTGCCATTTGCTTTCTCTGCAGATTTCTGTATTATAGTACTTCTCAAACAGTAACAAGTCATTTCTTTAAAACAATTAGCAGGCTATGGTGATTTGGTTTATTGTCTCTGGAGAAGGAGTGTAAGGTTTTCATTAAAGAAAAAAATCTAAGAATGTTTTTGGGTTTTTTTTTTTTTATCCTTCATGAAATAACAGGACTGTTGAACCTTGTCTTCCTTGTTCTTACTGGAAAACCAGCTGTGTGACTCATTCTTTGGGAACTTTCTGTGGGCTTTAACTGAAAGGAGAATGTTGACTTTCAAACAGATCTTTTTCTTCCAAGTATTTTAATGTTATGAAAGAAAAAAATACAAAAAAACCTCTCAATCAAACATTCAATTCATACTGTCCTCAAATCTTGCAAAATACGTAATTCCACAGAGTACTCTTGTATGTGAAGATAAACACAAACACAAGCAGCAGCAATACCAAAGCTTCTGCAGCTCTGCAGTGAATGACAGAGCGGTATGATGCACAGAGATCCAGTGCTGTCATTAACATCCAAAGGAATCATTTTTGTATCCTCCAGCGATAAGCATATCCTTCTCCATTTATTAAAGGAAGGAAAAGCCAGGCAAAACCAATTATTTCCATTTACTTTAATCTATGTTATATCAGAGATGCTTTTTCAACAGGTAGATGCGAAAACAACAGAAAATGAAGCACGGTTTAACAGACGAGGGGTAGGCAGTACTTTCACATTCAGATGAAGGCTTCGGGGCACCTTGGCTCTGCACTGGGTTTGCTCAAGCGCCAACCACCGCACCCCTTCATGCCCTTTCCACACCTACGCGGCCGTAGGAAGGGGAGGAAAAAGGAAACTCAGCATTTGACCAGAACCCTCATCCCAACTCTTTTGCCCCACGGGGTCGTCATCTGCGGAGTCGACAGGTGACCGCCCCCTCAGCGCAATCACAGCTCCCCGTAGCCCAGCCCCTACGAGATCCTTCCTCGCCTGCTCCGGCCTGGGGGTCGGGGGCTGTTGGCGGCCGCCGCCTAAGCCGGTGTCCGCCCGCCCCGGGCCTGCGGCGCGGCTGGGAAGCGGGCGCCCCTACCTGGCCGCCTGCATCAGCGGGCTCCAGCCGTAGTGGTTCGTGCTCTGCACCGAGGCTCCCTTCCTCAGCAGGAACCGCACCAGCTGCTCGTGGCCGCCCGCCGCGGCGAACTGCAGCCCCGTGTTGCCCGCCTCGTCGGTGCAGTCCACGGCGACGACGGGGGCAGGGGCGGCCGCTTCTCCGCGGGGCTCCGCCGCCTCCTCGGTGCCGCAGGCGGAGGCGGCCGCCGAGCCGGCGGTGCCGCCGGGCAGCCCCAGCAGGCGCCGGGCGGTCTCGCAGTCGCCCTGCTCGCAGGCACGGAGGAAGAGCTGGACCTGGGCGGGCACCCCGCACTCCCCCATGGGCAGCGCCGGCAGGGCCCGAGAAGCTCGGCCGCCCGTGCCCGCCCGCCCCCGGCGGCGGCTGGGAAGGCGGCGGCGTGGAGGAGGGGACTCCGGCGGCGGGAGGAGGCAGGATGAGGGCGGCCCGAGCGCGCTCGCGACTTGGGGAAAGGAAACCGCCTCAGCTGCGCTCCTCAGGGCCGTAAGAGCCAGCATTGTTCTCTGCTCCCACCGGTGCTTGAGGGTCCGCGGCTCCTGCCCCTTATTCGAGGATCTGTGTCCTTGCAGCTGGTTTCCACGCCGTGTTCGTGCTGCGGTTACTTCCACACAAAGAACTAACTTCGTGGTACCCGTTCCAAGCTTCACAACAAGCCCTCGTTACAGAACTGTCTTTGGCCAGAAAAAGTAGACACTTTCTCCTGCTCTGTAGCATGGCTTCCGCAAACCAGCTGCCCTCTGCCAGCCCAATTCTAGCTACATTATACCCGCACCTTCCTGCTTAGCTTTTCCCTCTCTTCCTGTCTCTCCCCTTCTTTCAATAAAGGATTTGGTTATCACCTAACAAACATATCTTTCCACCCTGATAGTGCCCATCAACTGGTCTTTCCATTTAAAGACTTAGAGTGTAAAGCTGACCTCTTCCAGTGTTTTCAAGTCGCTTTCCTTTCTCTTAGCCTCCAACTTAATATACTGAACTACAATAGCTAAAGTGAGAAAAAAATGAAGTGCTGGTGAAATAACTTAAACTGAAGTGACTTGCCAGTTAAGAATACAGTATTGTGCCCTTACAGTTTCCTCTAGAGAGTCATGGAGTATCCTAAGATGGAAGGAACCATAATGAGCACTGAGTCCAACTCCTGGCCCCTCACGGGACAATACAAAAATCAAACCCTATGTCTGGGAGCACTGTCCAGACACTCCATGAACTCTGGCACTCGGGGCCGTGCCCACTGCCCTCTGGTGCAGACCCTTTCTCTCACCCCAGCTGCCCTCCCCTGACACAGCTCCATGCCGTTCCCTCGGGCCCTGTCGCTGTCACACAGAGCAGAGCTCAGCGCTGCCCTCCACTCCCTGTGAGAAGCTTCAGCCACCATGAGGCCTTCCCTCAGATCCTCTGCTCTGCGCTGAGCCAACACAGGGACCTCAGCCGATCGTCACACATCTTTCCCTCTAGACTCTTCACCATCTTCGTAGCTCTCATTTGAACACCCTCCAATAGTTCTATGTCTTTTTTATACTGTGGCATGCAAAACTGCACACAGTACTCAAGGTGAAACCGCTCTAGTGCAGTGTAGTGTGGGACTTCCCTTGACCTGCTAGCAATGCTGTGCTTAATGCACCCCCACAGCCTCCAGCAGGTTGTTCTATTTTAAAATCTGTGACTTCAACAGCAGAACAGAACAGGACACTAATTACTATGGTGGAGGGTTTGGTCGACTAGGAGACATTGCAGGGAGTGTAGTGAAACACTAGATGTCGCTAAAAGGACGTGCTGGTTTCAATCAGATGCACCCATACTTTCCACGTTAGTCTTATTCCTCTGATCCACTGGGAAATCCAGATCATGAGGCTGTCATGGCAAAAGGTCCAACAAGTTGTACTTTGAGAAAGACTCCAGGAAATGAGTACCGACTGCTTATGGACACTGGGAGTGTGCTGTTCACAGCAAAGAAAAAATGAACCTCTGTGAATTTGTCCTCACAGAAAGGACAAATTCCTAGATATGGCAAATATTCAGCGGTTATTCCTGCATTATAGATACCGTGTGTTAAATAATGCAAAAAAATGTAAATATTTAACATATGCACTTATGCTAAAAAAAAAAAAAATTGTTAAGCTTCAAGATGCTGACACTGGCCATCATCAAATTTTTGGTCTAGCCAGTACAACCATCCTTACAGTGCAACAATGTGAGGAGCTCACCATGATGAATAAAACTGACAGTGCAATAAATTTCATGGAAGATTTCATAGTTTGAAAACTGGAATGGCAAGAGTGATTCATGCAATACATTATTCAGGATTCAAGAAAACTGGGTCATGCTTATCATATCAAAGTGCATGCCTGGATACAGTCAAATTAGTGATGGGATCACTCCAGTTTATCTTTGAGATAAGTTATGGATCATGTTGATCATACAAATTTGATATGTAGCTGATGATCATGCTATCAGATTATCCTAATGGTTTGAAACTCCAGACAAACATATAATGAATAAAATTAGAAGCCACCTAGGAGCAAAAAGATGTGACTCTTCTTTTAAGAAACTCATAAGCAATAGGAAATACCTACAAAATGAAAGAGAAAATTATTTATGCTAAATTTGATTGCTGTTAAATTATGATCATTGCTATCTTCAGTCAGCATGCAAGGCATTTCTACAGATACAATTGCTCAGTGATCACTATTACTAATGGAGAATCAGATAATAATCAGATCCCTTCTGAAATGAATTAAAAGCTATAGAACACCTTATGATGATGTAGTACCAGCTCCTCTGGGAAATACAACTTGATTTCTTCAGCAAAGAAAGAACAACTGAAGTCTTTCAAACTGTGAAAAACACATTGTTTTTGTCATGGAATTCCTTCATGATACCAATGTACTAATTTGAATAAGTCCGTGTTGGATTGTACGAAAGACTGTAAAAGTACCATAAAAAATAAAAATAAAAAAATATCTGAGAAAAGAACAAATGGAAGTAGTCAAGAAATCTGTTGCAAAGAAATCCAGAAAACTGGAGATAGCTAACTCAGTCATTATGAGAATCTGGGGATGATGGCATCTGAAATCCCCATTATTTCATGACAATTCAAAGAATAAAGGTTTATTTTCTACTGAAAGACCTTACTTGTGAATCAGAAGAAAATCATGGCTGAGAAAAAGAGAACTGAAATTTGTAGCTTGTGTTTTGTGTGAAGCCTCTTGTCTGAAAAAAATAGACTCATGTATTAGAAGTATTATCAGAGAAAAGAAGATACTTCTTCAGTATCAACCTTCTCCAGGCTCATAAAAGTTAACTTTGCTTTCTTCAGACACAGAAGCAGAAATAACCTTGGTAAGCATGGGATGACCATGGTTAACTCCACCATTCAGTATCACCTTGAGTTCTTGGGCCAGTTCTTTAATCATGGCATGTATGATGTCAGCTTTGAAAGCAACGCCTCCCATTTTGTTATGTGGGCTCATGACGTCAGAAGCAGATGTTGACGGTATGGCAGTAGAGGTTTAACCTACCCACCAGTATCCCATTACATTCTGTTGCTGTGCAACAGATGGCAGCTGAGGGGCAGTCTGACAGAACGGCATCTAAGACAGAAGTGTCAATGAAGCAAAAGTGTGTCACTGAATTCCTCCATGCAGAAAAAATGGCATCCATCAGTATTCATTGATGCTTGCTGAATGTTGATTGAGACCAAACAGTGGATGCGACCACAGTGAAGTGGTGCAGCACCTCCTCCCAGAGATGCAGATTTTTTTGAGCACAGCATGCAGGCTCTTGTTCACCACTGGCAAAAAAGCATAGCTAAGGGTGATGACTATGTTTATTTATTTACTTTAGTGGAGAGTTTGCTCTATCAAATAGCGTTAATGTGTTCTTTGCATCTGTTATAATTTCCGTGGAAATAAATAGGAGGCATTACTTTCAGAGCAACCTACATATACAGATCTCCCTCCAGTCTGTCTACTACAACAGCTGCTATAAATTTTTGATACAATTACTTCACCTATGTTTCTGAATATGAAACAGTTTTGATTAAATTTTCAACAATTATTTGGAATCCAGTATTTCAGTTCACTGCATTGATACAAAAATGTATGAGATAGCAGATTTAAAAAGCAATAGACCTTGAACAGTCTCCTTCAGTAACAGGTCCTGTTACACCATATTGTATGCACAGAACTGCGGTTTTGTTCCAATAGTTTCTGATACTCAAGCTTGCTAGCCGTGACTTCATATAAAGGATGTCATCTCCTGTCTACAGTTCATGCTTTCTATTTACCTGAAAAGAACATTTATATTTGTACCAACAATACATACCCACAGGAAGTAATCCACTGACCAATGTCTTTGGCATGTACATCCTTACCATCTTTAAGCTATCTTGGCTTGCATATAGTTATTTGAATAAGGTATTTTGTATATGTGTTTATGTATATACATGTAGATATACATTTGTATGTCTACATGTACGTACATATGTACATATGCACATACTGTATTCTGCAAACCAGTACAGGTGAGATATTGTACCAGCAGCACTTCCCAGATCAGCCTGTTTTTATTGACATGTCAATATCAGAATTACACAGCATTCACTCTTCAGTCTGGTACAAGATGCCTGAAATAGTTCACAGTTTCTATCTCACTCACCAAGTCTGTGTTTTTAACCCATTTTATTTTTAGACCTCCACACCCACTGTTCTTCTTTTTGAATTCCTGATGTGCTATGCATCCTTGCAATGCAGCTGGACTGTCTCCTAGCACAGAGGCTGCCCTTTAAAAATAGGGTCCCCACAGGAGCAAGAAGGGCTGAGCACCCACCTCTCACATACACCCACAGCAGGGAAATGAGCACCTGGCTCCTTTCAAGTTTCACTTGCATTATGCAACTGTGCCAAATTTCCAGGCAAATATATTAATTAGAAAAAATATCCTTGGCCCTGGTAAAAAAAAAATTGTATGATTAATAATATTTAAAAAGAGACAGGCATACCAGTGCTGGTAAAGCAGCGAATAAGCACTCAAGGTGGGAGTCAGGAGACCATACGGGGCAATGTTGTTCTACGCCCAGTTAAAATGACTGAATAATGACCCATCATCAGCCCACAGCTACCTTCAGTGTATGTTTGATTATTTGGCTAAATCCTCTCCCTGAACAAATTTTCTATCCACCTGCAATGTATCTGTACATTGTGTTCCTCTGGTATATATTTTTTTCATTTTATTTGAGAACACCAAAGCATTGGTTGTTACTGAAACAAGGAATGTTATTCTGAAAGACATTCTTTGGGACTTTCTTTTCCCCAATAAAGAATGAATTTAGGAAGCTATTTGAGCACAGAGTTTATTCAAAGTTCCCTGTTTGTTCCTACTTTTCTACACTCCATTTCCAGTCTTTAATTTTGCTTTATTTTGAATAAAAGTACAGATCTAACAAAAACAACAACAAAAAATATTTTAAAATAAAACTTTGGATGAGGAAAATTTTAAAGCCTTTGCAAAACTTAATACTTCTATTTATTTTTTTTTTTCCTATGATGCATGTCAATGTTACAAGGGAAGAATAACTTTTAGTAACAGTAAACATGTAAAATAATTCAACTTATGGATTTTTCTTTAACAAGAGCAAGTAATTCAGGTAAACTAAATAATTGCCCCAATATATTTCAGTGAGCAACAGATATTCTCTTATTTTCATCAATTATGCTCACTATAACGCAAATTCCAATGGACAGTTACATATTACATCTTATTGTTTTTTAGTTTTTTCTTTTACTGCTTTTTGAAAGGTTTAGTTAATACTTTGTTTCCTTTCTTTACAAACAACAACAACAACAACAACAAAACAAAACACTTTTACTTTTTAAAAATAAACCCTTCAAACGTATTAACTATTCCATTGATCTTCTGTTTTAACTTTGATAATGGAGGGCATGTTAGATCTTCCTAGAAGTCTAATTATAGACTTCATATTACTTGTATGGTTGCACTACTTGTGTCTAACTAAAACTCTCAAAAGAATTTGTAACTCAATAAATATTCTTACTAATCTGAAACAAAATCTCAAAATCATTTTTTAAAAATTTCATTATTAAACCTGGGAAATACTTTTCAGAATTTCTGAAAAGTAATTTTTCTATTAAAATATTGATGCAGAAGTTTTCCCTGTGTCTTTATTTCTTAGGTATTTCAGCTCAGAAATTTCAGTCTTCCCATCTTGATTAAACTGTACAAACTCTAAAAAAGGCTTAAAGTAAGTGTCCTTTACCACACATAT